TTTTACTTAAAATTTAAAAAAAAATTAACAAATAGTTAAACAAACCATTTTTTTGTAATTTTAACTTTTATAAGTTGAATGTCATTCACTCCTTATTTATAACTAAGAAAATTAATGAGTAATTTAATATTATCAAAAATAAAAAACATTTTTAAAGTCGCTGTAAAAGAAGCAAAACAAAATGAGGATTCAAAAAAGTGTAAATTTTTGCACGAAATGGTTTTAAAAAAAATAATTGTCCAAAAATATATAATTATTTACTTAAAAAAGATTTATTTTATGAAATAAAATCTAAAATTTTAACTTGAAAATTTATTTCAAAATCCAAATTCTAATTAAGCTGCTTTTATGATCCTAGCTTATAGAAAATATTTTTTGTAGATAGTATTAAAGCCCTAATAATTATTTCAAATAAAAGTGGAAGGGGGAGGGGAGGGATATTGTTTTACCTATAATGATACATTTTCCTTTTACAGTAAATTAATAAAATAACTCACAATACAATTTTTTTATCTAATAAAATATTATTTAATATTATGATATAGCAAGCTAAACTTAAAACCTTTATAAGTGCATTTTAACTAACTTTCATTTTCTTCTTTTTTGTCATTAAAATTTTGTAAACCTATTCTAAAATTTTTTTTTTAATATAATATAGTCTGAGAGCTAGCTATCTGGTAAAATTAAAACTGGATTTTCAAGTGGGCTAGTGAAAACACATTTCTAAAGAAAGATAACAAGTATAACTATGTAAACTTTTAATAAAAACATCTCAACATAATCATTAAACTCTTAATTGAAAACGTATGCAGCTTTAAAATCATTAAGTACAGCATACTGTGCACTTCTAGACTTTAGGTACCAAGGAGCACAGCAAACAAAAACAATAAATGTTTCTACTTCTATATTTATTATCAGGTAGAAAAGTTAAAAAAATAGAACATTTTAAGTAAATATAGGTTTTAGCAATAAATCTTGTTTCATGGCTGCTGAATTTAAAATTTTAAGCTTCTCAGTTATTAAGACCATTGGCATTTAAACCATAAAAAACATCAAGACTTCACTCAACAACTCTATCTTCAACTCTAATGTTTTCTTATGTTTATTCATAAAATTAGTGTTGAATACAAAAACAAATTTACTTTATTAAAGTTTACCATTAATATTTCCAAATAAGTTTTATAATTTTGCCTTTCATATTTTTTTAAATTGGTTTGTTTTTTCACCTACTCTCCCCTACTAATATAGCTCCATCAAGTCTACCTTTAGTCCATCAAAATAGCTCCATCAAGTCTACCTTTAGTCTATATTACATAATGTTGGATTTGATGCTAAAGGAAAGCTGAGTTTTCATTTATCTTAGATTTTCTAGATTGTTATGAAGAACAATCTAGAAAATCTAAGAAAAATGAACATTTTAGTATTTTTTTAAATATTTTGAGACCAATTAGAAGTAAAGATGCTGAAAAGATAAATGCTGAGATTAATACTGTTTCAAAATATAATTTATATTGTTTGTTAAAAATTCAAAATACTTTGATTGAATTTGAGTGCTCCTTAAAAGTTCAAAAATATTAAAGATGGTTACCACAATACAAAACTAACACTATTTTATTAAAAAATAGTAAAAGAATTTATTTGCTGCTGAAATATTAAAACTATTAAAAATCAAGAATATTCAATTAAATTAATTTTCCTAATTTTTACAGTAAACACTTGGAAAACTTATATATATTTTGATACTAATGGTCATCTAAAAATGTATAGGTAAAAGCTAGATGTGTAAAATTTTTTTTTAGAACACCATAATGCCCATTAACTTATACTGAGCTACATTAAACCTTCTAGGTCAAATTTTTTGAATAAACCAAACTAAATAAAAAATTTGTGTATTTAATTGAAATTAAACTTCTTACTTTTTATGTGTTCAGCTCTAATTTTCTTAACTTTTGCTTCTTTCTCTTGCAGTTTTTTCATTCGTAGCCTGCCAAGATATTTGCTTTTTAAATCATTATTTTTGTTTTCTTTGTCTTTCAGTAAACGCTGAAAAACCTGGAGCTTTGCTTGTTGAAGTCTGCAAAATTTATATTATTAATTTTTATTTATAACAACATTATCTTTTTAGATATAAAAAAAAAATTAAAAAAACAAATTTTTTTATTGCACAGTCAAAAATGCAAAACAACCAAATAAATATTAAAAGTACTTTTCAATTTGACTTTCACGAAATGCCCACTCCTTTGCCTCATGATCAGCCATCATTTTTCTTCGCTCTTCATACATTTCTGTATTTGAAAGTGGAGGTAGAGTAGATTCCCTATTATTAACAGCAACATATTTAATTAAAACAATTTATTTATTTTTATTGCTTAAAAACTTGCCAAAACATTTCAATAAAAATTTAATTCAAAAATAAATGATTATTAAGTTTATTATTAAAATATATACACACACACGCACACACACACACATGCACACACACACACACACACACACACACACACACATATATATATATATATATATATATATATATATATGTATATATATGTAATAATTATAATTGATTACATGGTTTATATTTACCAAGAACCTTTTTAGTTGTTAATTATTTCATTGGTAACATAAGTTACCAATGAAATAATAAATTAACATAAAAACATAATAAATTAACATAAAAAATGCATAATAAATTTTACCATGCTCGCTTAGCTCTTGCTCTTTCTATTATTTCTACTTCTGCAAGTCCAGCAGGTAATCCATGCTCTGAAATTTTTGTTGAAATTATAAACATATGTATATAATATATAAAATATAATATCTTAGTATATTTATAGTGGTACACTTGGAACCATAAACAATTTATAAACATTAAAGCCTTTTTCAACTTTTTATTAATAGTTATTAGAAAACGTTGATTTTTGAAATAATAACTTTACTAGCACAAATTTTTTATTTTTTTTTACATACCATAACATAAAGTTGCAAGAGTCAAAAGTTCAGGATGAGATCCTGGTCTAATAACATACTCTGGTGAATATGGATCAGTTTGTGTATCACTTTCACGATAATCTGTTTGAATAGCAACACTACGAGTCAACTGATTAGTAGAAGAATTTGCAACCATAGTTTTCATTTCGTTGACCATATCACTATAAACAAAAACAAACTCATTTCTAAAAGCCCAAATAATATAACTAAAAATTCATCTCTTTTAAAGAATAAAAGAAAACTGCAAAGTACATGGACCAACTGTGTTAAATTGTCTACCGAAGGAAGCAGGGCTATTAAGGTAGACTAGTTGCAGAATTAAAAAAAAAAAATTATCAGGTGAAATAGACATATATCTGATCATCAATACCAATTATTATTGCTAAACATTTCCCATTGGACTAATCCAACACATAAACACTATCAGATTGAACCTGGAGCCTTAAATAAAACACTCACCATCAAGCAATGTGCAAATAATTTAGGGTGTAGCAATAATAAATCTATTATTATTACACTCTTTACTTAACTCCAATTGTATATTGTAAATGAGCAATTAGTTTCTGCAGTAGTGGTGCTAGGAATAAGTAAAAACCTGTACAAATAAGTAGGTGCTAGGAATAAGTAAAAACCTGTACAACAAATTTTATATTGATCATCATAAAATTTTCTTTTTAAGGAAAAATCTTAAAGAATAGCTGAGAACATCAATCCAAACTTTTGAAACTTTGTACGATATTGAACAGGAATTTGTGGTAAAATTAGATCCCTGTTTAATTTTATGAAATTCTTTAGCAATGTTACCTGTTGTTGTTGTTCCCTTTTTTTGAGTCATTTTATTCCTGTCTTTTTAAATATTTCTGCTTTCAATTAAATTTTTCCTTGTTTCAGAAATCTTTTTGAAGCAATAATAGAGATAATTTTTTTTGAAGCAATAATAGCAATCATAAGTAGGTTTTACATGAACAGTCTTAATAAATTGATGTAAGCAATAAAGATATAAAATAAGTTGAGCACAGTTTGGAAATAAACATTCCAGTAAAATTTAAATTGTAATAATTGATAACAATTGTTTACATCAAGTATGTTTACAAATCAAATTATTCTAAAAAAAATTAAAAACTAATAAACATAAACCTTACTTGTATGGTTTACATAGATCACAGGCTGTTCAACTCTTGCAACATAACCATTGGTCTCTAATTTTTTTTCTCATTAAACCATCTTAGTGTTCAATCCAATTAAAAGTTTTATTGATAGTAATGTTACAGTTGGTTACAAAAAGTTTTTTTTTAATTTTTTCAATATCTAAACACATATCTTTTGAGCAAAGATATGTGTTTAGATATTGAAAAAATAAAAAATAAACTTTTTGTAACCAACTGTAACAATACTATAAATGAAATTTTTAATTGAATTGAACACCAAGATGGTTTAATTAAAAAAAAAAAGTTATCATATTAATTAGCTTCTTTAAAAAGAAAAAGTTTTATCACAGAGCACCACAAATAAGCATTTAAATGGGAAGTTCATGACTTCTTGCTAGTTAATGTCATTTGACCAAAGCCAGCATCAGACCTCAAACTTCTTGGTTCTAAGTAACCAAGAAGTTTGAGGTCTGATGCTGGCTTTGGTTCAGAACCCTAATCTCTGCACCAAAGCTGCATGAACGTATTTTTATTATTAAATTTCTAAAGTTTGTTTAGAAAAATGCTCTCCAATTTTTTTACATTATCAGTTTAACAAGCTAAAAAATACAAAAATCACAACAAGGTTTAAAGAAATTCATAACATTTGGTGTTTCTTCACACCGCTTATTATTTAGATGTTTCTGACTAGACATAATATATTGAAATCAGCAGATACATGAACTTTGTTTTGTTTATAAATGCTTACAAAGAGCACACAGTCTATAAACTGTCTACTTCTAATAAAAATTTATTGAAAAAGTTATCTTGTGCTTCTCATGTCATAGACAATATCGAATCCTTTGGCATCTAGTTAATAAAATCTGTAATAATTTGGCTAAAGTAAGATTTTTAAACTTATATTAGTTTGAGAGTTTTTGTTTACAACTATTGTTGTTGACGTGAGCAACTATTGTTGTTGACGTGAGCAACTATTGTTGTTGACGTGAGCAACTATTGTTGTTGACGTGAGCAACTATTGTTGTTGACGTGAGCAACTATTGTTGTTCATGTGAGCAATCTTGTTCATTCAGGAATATCACAGCAATGGTAAATTTAAATTATGTTCTAATTTAGTCTCATTATGCAATGTTTAACAATTCAATGATTGCTACAACCACATAAAATACCACTAGTACCAAAAAGAGATATATTATGCTAATGCCGAAAGTATGCTAATTGCAAATCTTATTAAAATTTTTTAGGGAATACTTAAACAATTGTTCATGGACAACTAAACCACTGATATCATTGACTAAGTATAATGAAAACTGGCTTTAAAAAATGGCAAAGCAGTACAAAAATTGGTTTCAGCAAAACATAAAAATATGGCATCAAGCATCTCAGTTTATTAAATATGTTACAGACATTTTTTTTATTAGCTAATTCTTGTAGTTTTATTTTTTTCTTGTATAATATTTACTTTTTTGAATAAATATTCTTTATTGCACTCCTTTTTCACAACAAATATTCTTTATTGCACTCTTTTTTCACAATAAATTTTAAAAAAGCATATTTTAAAAAATTTTCAATCATTTTCATTAGAAATACAAATAATCAATTTTAAACAAAAATGAATTTGCTAAAACAAATAAGCTCAACTGCTGAAAACTATAATAAATTCAAGAATAAAAATCTACAAAAAGCACCCAATAATTTAGAAAAATTTAACTTAAAAGTCAGTCAGCTTAAAAACTTTTTAAATAGGCTTAAAACTAAATTTGAGTAACAAAATGGAGAGCCTAGCAACAAAATGCCTAGCAAAAGCATTAAATCAAAACAAGCAAAATTGATTCATCAGCAAATAATAATAAGCGAAATAATTTTAGGCACTACAAACATAAGAAATAGCCTGCAAGTAAACCAACAGAAAAACACTACCAACATTATCAATAGCATCCCAGAAAAAAAAAAATAGCATTTAATTTGATATAAACTAACTTTACTCATCTTAAGTAACTGAAATATTTAACAAAGCCGTTTCCTTTGCAAAACAACACACTTGCATAACAGACAACCAATTTAAAAAAAAAACACAGCCAAAAATCTCTCTATTATTTCGACAATACATGAATAAAAAAACTCAATCATGAAAGTTTTTATGTAACAATAGTTAGGTACAATAAAGCCAAGATTTTTCAACTTGTAGGAAACCACATAATAAACAGACTATCCAAGGAAACCACATAATAAACAGACTATCCAAGGAAACCACATAATAAACAGACTATCCAAGGAAACCACATAATAAACAGACTATCCAAGAAAGATAGAAAAACTAATATAGAGCTATATCAAGAATCAAAGTAAACTCAAAAAAACAAAACCAAAAAATTTAAAAATAAAGGATTTCAAATAGATATAAAAACAAACCTCAAATCAGTCATGATTTATAATAATAAACTACTATAATTACATTCATCTCTATAATTACACTAATTTCAAATTTAACATTAGTAACCTGTAAAAATCAATGTACTATACTGAAAACAATAGCAGGCATCTTATTTACATCATAAACTATACACTTTTCTGAATGATAAAAAATATACATTATACATCTTGAAACAAAAAATTATATTATCAATAATGGCAGACACAAATGTCACGTGGCTTACAAGAAAAAATATTTTTCAAAGAAAAATCAGAAAGCCAAATATGGAAATTTTTTTAAGTATTTAAAAAAATACTAATCAAGAGTTAATACTATCAGAAGATACTAGACTGCTCAAACAGCTAAAAATCTTCAAGAAATTATATACATTTTCCAAACATTCTAAAATAACTTAGTTCTATCACATTGCTTTTAAAGTTTGTTTATAAAACATAAAGTTATCCTTCAAAACATAAAGTCAAGCAGTTTTGGTTGAGAGCTTTTCTTGCAAATCCCTTATTTATGGATTTATTATCAGAGTCATTAACAAAAAGTTTTAATGCAAAAGAGATAATAGACTGCCAATTTAGATTGAAATCTAAATAAATTTAGTACTGCCTCTACTACATTAAATATTAGGTTAATCTGAGAGTATTTATTTTTTGAAATTATTTTTGCATTAAGTATTTTTGATTTGTTAACATAGGCATTTTATAACATAACAATATAACATATAACATTATAACAAAGTTATAACATTATAAGAATTTTTTAATAATATGATTATAATAAGCTAATCTACTTAATAAACTTTTCCACAGTAAAGTCTCCACTAAATGGTTTTTATTAAAAAATTATTTATAAATAACAGCTGCTCAAATACCTGATCAACTAAATAGTGTAAACTATTGTTTGAATCAAAATCTTTATTCAATGAGTTTGCAGTGAGTGCTTCTTTTTGAACCTCAAAAATGCTAAAAAAATTTTATTTGATTTAAAAAAAAAAATTTTTTGAGACTTTTTAGAAATATGATGTACAGGATTTTTGAATCCAGCATACTCCTAGTTATCCAGCATACCCCTAGTTATCCAGCATACCCCTAGTTATCCAGCATACCCCTAGTTATTTAGCAAAGTCACATTTTTTTCTTGTAACTGTTGTTTGATGCTCAAAAATTTTAATTCCTTTTTTTTTCTGCAAAAATCAGCGCTTTGAATAATATTTTGTCTTTATGCTGTGATTTTTGTGATTCACATAATTTACAGCTTTTTTTTTTTTTTTAGTTCTTTTTCCATTTGCTTTTTCATTCTTGAACTGACTTCCACACTTTACCAATAATTAGCTACCTAATTATTGGATGCCTGCAGCATTATTACCTCGTTGTCTGCAGCATTAATGCCTTGTTATCTGCAGCCTTGTTGACTTTTTGTCTGCAGCACTTTTGACAGAAAAAACAACCATTATTTTAATAACAGTAAAGCAAAACACAAAATATATAATAGTGAAAAAAATTATGTTTAAAAAAAATTTTTTAACCTGCTATATCTATCTTTTAACTGCTATCAAAAATTCTACACCCTATTAGTTGGTAAAAAAGTGTGCTCATGAATAGTTGTTGATGCTTTATTTTTTTTTAATAAAAAAATTAAAAAAAAAAAAAAAGGTTTTTGATGAAAAAAAGTCTACTCATGAATACTTGATGATTTTTATTACTATTATTAGACCACTTTACTAAACCCTCCTATAGCCAAGAGGGACAATAAATCTAGCATGCTAGACTTTTTTCCTCAAAAAAATGCAGAGTTTGATTTAAATATTAATATTAAATGAGTCTCTCAACTGTAATTTTATTTTAAAAAACAAGATGGGTTTCACAAAAGTTTCATATATTTAAAAATAGGATTAACTTCTGAATGGCTGGTCCCAACTACTAACAAATGTCAGTAAATCATTGTAAGTAGATTTATTTAGATTAAAACTTTGAATTTTTCATAAGAAGTATCTATAACATAATCATCATGTCAGAAATACAAATCATCAAACATCAAAAATAAAAATGTAAATTTGATATCAAACACTTTAATCAATTACCTTTTACATTGCTTATAAGCATCTGGAAGTTGCTGATGCAAAAATGGCAATATTGGTCTAAAAATAGTAATATTACTTTTTATACAGAAAAAAATTATTTATTTAATGTGTAAAAATTCAAATATAAAATATTCTTTAACTTTTAATTGAATATTATTGTGATACGCAAAATAAATCATTAAAAAAAGATTCATTAATGAAAAGATCAATATTAGTTTTATATTTTAAGGCCAGTAATTTAGACCTAAAAAGTACTACAGTAAAGTTTTATGAGTTGTTTAAACCAGATTTAAAAAATAATATCTCAATCTGTCTTTTATCTGTTATTATTTATTAATTATAACACACAGTTTTAGCAGATGACTATAGCCATCTAAAAAGACACACACACACACACACACACACACACACACACACACACATATATATATATTTCAATTTAACACCTTAAGGCCAAGAAAGCCATTACAGTCAATCTTTACAAATAAGGCCGCTGCGCAGAGAAACAAATTGAGCGTGGCACCACCAGGGACGTGGTAGCCGCGCTCAACTATATATAGCTATAATAGCTTTAACTATAATAGCTTTAGGATAAAATAAGTAGAAAATTACTTAGAAAAAAATTTTTGTTAAGTGATTTTCTACTACTTTACATACATATATATATATATATATATATATATATATATATATATATATATATATATATATATATATATATATATATATATATATATATGTATGTATATATATATATATATATATATATATATATATATATATATATATATAAATATATATATATATATATATATATATATATATATATATATATATATATATATATATATATATATATATATATATATATATATATATATATATATATATATATATATATATGTAAAGTAGTAGAAAATCACTTAACAAAAATTTTTTTCTAAGTAATTTTCTACTTATTTTATCCTAAAGCTATTAAAGTAGACACACAGCAGTCGACTTCAAAAGACTTTTGTAATGCAAATCTTTTTTGATTAAATACCTTTACCAATGATTGATGGAATTTGCTCAAATTAAGCAAACTAGTTGAATCTTTGAAGGTTTATTATCATTATATATATTTTAGAAATATTAATAAGTTTAAAAAATAACAAAATATTAAAATAAATCAACCTTTTGAAGTATTTATATCTATCTCGTCCAAGAACATCTTCTTTAGGAATCTGTCTAATGGGAATCACAACATCAGGATCATAGTTAAATCTAACCAATATAATAAAAACATTCAACAGCTATTTAAATTTTCAAGCTTTCTAAACCTTTTTAAATTTTATATTATATAATTCAATAAAAAATTGAGTATAAACTTTTTTAATAAAATAAAAAACCTTCTTAAAAGTATAAAAAAAAATTTCAAGTCTTATTTTTTTTAACTTTCATACATTTAGTATACCTTTATAAGATATAACAAAATCAAAAAAAATTATTATAATAATAACAAAATCAAATCAAATATACAAACATATTGTTAATTTATGATAACAACTTAGTGTCAGTCATACCTGATCTTATATGGTGCCTGGTTCAAAATATTGATACAACAATAAAAATTTAATAACTGCATGACTTGATAATAGAAATTTAATGACCATGTAGATGGTATAGTAAACTTTAAACTCTTAACTTTAAGCTCAAAAACACAAACTTCTAATAATGCCGCTTCGGGGAGAAATTTGTTGGGCGCAATATTTTAGAGACATAAGGTGGATTTGAACCTCGAACCTCTGGATTTTGAGCTACCACTCAACTACTACCATCTACATTGACTTTTAAACATAAAATGTATTTTGAGCTTTTAATTTTTCCTTTTCTGCTTATTGTTGTCTTATATTAAAATATGTGCCAGACTAGAAAAAAAAGTTGAAAACATAGTTTTTTTAATAATATCAGAGAGAGGCGACACTTTTTTTGGAAAAGGAATAAGAAAACTTGTATCTATACTAAAGCATGCTAAATTCTTAACTAATCATTTTGTTTGCGAAATTCCAAAAGATCTAATAATAGTCAAACTTTAAAAGTAGTAAAACAAGTAAAAGTAAAAAAATGAGATAATTTTAAATAAAATAAAAACTTTTTTGTCAAGACTTGTTGCTTGTTGTGTCACCAGCAAAAAAAACCAACTTAGAGGAAGACTTGGTGTTGGTTGTATCATCAGCAAATAGAACCACGTTAGAGAAAGGCTGGTTGCAGGTTGTGTCACCAGAAAATAGAACCACCTTAGAGGAAAACTGAACCACCTTAGTTGAAAAAATAATATTTTCTCTTATTTGATAATATAAAACTCAAGAAAATTTTAGTACTAGATTGGAAATATAGAACCCTTAAAATAAGAAGCTTTCTAATGCTAGGCCATTTGCTTAGTTTCATATAAAATAAAATAAAAAGTGTAATGTTGCAAAAAAAAAAGAAAAGTAATAATTCAATAAATTAAAAAACTTCCCTGGACGTATGAAGAGAGCAAAAAACTAGCAGCTAGACTTTATCAAAAGTCTTTGATCTGTCAAGAACAGTAGCCCTTGCTTCACCCCTCTAATCTAAAGCTCTAAAGAACCTTTGTGTTATTATGGTTAACAGATGAGGATTAAATTCAGCAATATTATCAGAGAGTAAGTTGTTGGAGCTAAGATAAGATATTAGAAATTTATTAATCAAAGACTCAAAACATTGCTAACAATAGTAAAAAGACTGATTGGCAATTGATAATGGAGTCAAAGCAATCTCCAGATTTCCAAAAAAATTAGATGCCATCTTCCATTTGGAAAATGGCATCTGTGGTTTTAATTCTTTAAATTCTGAATGATTTCAAATAAATTTGTCTTGGTGAACCATGATTTCAAAGTAATTTCACAAAAACTTATTTTAAAACCCATAAAAAAGATAATTTTGAATAATTTTGAACTAAATTAATTAAATCTGCTGTTCAGAGACAAGATATAATGGAGATAATATAATATAGTGGAGATAAATGATTAGGGTTGTTTGGAAAACATCACTAATTAACTATCTGAGATCGAGACAAAAAATTTAAAACATTTAATGATAAAAACTAAGCAAGTAACAATAATTAAAAATTGTTTATTGAAATTATTTTAAAATAAATTTATGTAGGAATTTCATTCTTATGTTACATAAATTCTTTAAATATGTATACTTTTTATATCTGATAAGGTTTTCTCGTGCCTCTTCTCTATAACCTCTCCAGTGTCTTGATACAAAACTTGGAACAGGATCTGTTGAATCAATTTGAACTTGAGAATTAGGATAATGTTGCAGGGATGAAAACATTGCCTTAAACTCTGGTAGGCGACGCTAAAAATATATATATAACTATAAATGTATGTATATATATATATATATATGTGTATATATATGTGTGTATATATATATATATATATATATATATATATATATATATATATATATATATATATATATATATATATTTAGGGTAGGTCACTTTTGAAAATTTTTTGAATTTAGGTTCCGCTGGGCATTTTTCTTTTGTCTTTGACCATATGATACTGAGAACCAATTCTCTTTTTATTTGCATTTAATGTTTTTTTATCATAAATATATCGTTTATGCGAAGTTATGAAAAATGCTTTGCTACTATTCAATAAAATAAAGTCTAAAAATATTCCTGAGCCTTAGTTATCTTAGTTACATCAATAATATATTAAAGTTATATCATAACTTAAAATTTTATAGACTTTTAAGTCTATAGGCATAATAAGACATTAAAATATTGATAACAGCATTTTCATATTTTTCTAAAATAAATAGTTTACTCATAATAAAAAGTTAAAACACAAATTCTCATCAGATCTTTCTTTGATTGGCACACAGCCATCAGCTCTCTATGAGCCAATGTAGCCCTTATAAACCCATCTCTTCTCTTGGCACCACACACCGACATTGAAACCCTAGTGACCTCTTTCACAATGTGTTCAATAGATTGATCGTGAATAGGGAAGTTTGGTACAATCATTGGATTATTAATAAAATATATTATATCATCTTTCATCAAACAACAAGTAAGAACCAGTTCACTAATCTCCTCTGTTTCCCAATTGATTAAATCTATTAGACTATTTTATTCAGTGTTTATCACTGGTATTCTTCTATTTCTGCATTTTCTCCAACATCCTTATTTTTTCTAACATCAATTATTTTCTGCACTGCAAATCTCCTTTTACTTTCATCTGAACTACAGAGCAATGTCTGAAGAATACATTCATTGTGTGCAGGCAGAGGAGCAGGCATGCAGTAATACAATATCCCTCACAAACTTGTTCTGTTTCTTTACCAAGGCTAGTTGTTTAAGAATATGACATGGACCTTGAATCCAGTTATGTTTAGTCTAAAGTCAATTACTTTTTTTCAACATAATCACAATTGTTTTACAATTATTAAAGTAAATTATAGTATTTAAGTAAATTATTGTATTATATCTTTATTTACATCACTAAGTTTATTACCTTAAGATCAAACCACATAATAGAATAAACACCCATGATGAACTCTGTTAACAATTTCAAGTTTTGTAGATCTTTGTTTTCTAAACCATGCTCTGAGCACCAGATTCAAAGTAGTCTATTTGCAAGATTTAACCATCTTGAATGATTGTGTGGACCAATTTGAATCTCCTTTAAGTCATCAGCAAAAACACCTGATGCTATTACATTATATATTCTGTATAAATACTTCTGATCTGTAGACAGTGAATCTACAACTTCTTTCTTGAGATGAATTAGGTCTACAACAAAATCAAGCTGATTTTGTTAATAACCTAATTCATCTTTTTTACTATTGAACATTATACATTGTCTTTTCTACCATCGAACATTATACATTGTACGCCCTCTTCCTTTACTTAATTGTTATGTCTCTCTTTACAGACCTTCATTACTCTTTGCTTTGATCTCTCAATTTTTTTATGATCTAGAGCTAGGTGTTTATCAAGTATATGATCTTTCAAAAAACCTGCATCTTTGGCTGCTTTTAATGTTGCAGTGCTTATTGATGCAGTTGCTCTGTTACTTGTACCAAATCGTAATGCCAACAAAGTGATATGATTTACATTTAAGGTATTTAGCTGAGAAACTTTTTTTATTTCTGGTTTGACTCAACATCATTTTGAGATAATACATCAGAATACTGTCTCGATTCTAAGTCTCTTTGATTTTGCTTTCTTTGATTATATTTTTTTGTCTGGATACATCTTTTCTATCAACTGAACCTATTTGCATTCCACTTTTAAAACCAACTTTATCCCTCAGTGACTTCAAAAGTTTAAGTTCATTAATAGGAATTTTATTTTCCTGAGAAAACAATAGAAAAAGTTGGTTGCAGCCATAACAATTAAATTCTTCACGTGATTTTATTGAACATTTACACTTAACTATGTCAAATAGTTTATTTAAGATTAATTTATGATCAGAAAGTTGCTCAGATGTTCCCCTACATAACACCAGATTATATGCTTTTTTCCAGTCATATATGATTCTTCCTTTTCCTCTTTTATCAGAGATAATGGATATAAGTGAGTTAGCTTTTTGCCATAAATATTTTACTGAGGTCCACAATTTTTCAGAAGTTAGCCTTAGATTTTGGTTATTTTCTTCAATCCTTCTAAGAAAGAGACAGTTTCTTAAAACATCTCTTAAAGTTGGTAGTTCTGACTCTAATAACGTTTTTCCTGTACCAATTAGCTTTGTTAATTTACATTTAATTTTATCACGAGTGTTTTAAGCCATTCTTTATAACTGTAAACTTATTTCTATACAATAAATACATGCGTTATAATTTCTTTCTTTTAATAACTAATAAAACTGTTACTAGTGGTCCGACTTTGGCGTACATAAACAAAATTTTCAGATATACTTCATCAATACATTTTACAAAATCAACTATTACCCATTTCTATGGTAAAATGCCCCCTTAGTTGCTATAATTTAGAATCATATTTTGACATTTTTATTGATAAAATAAATGTATTTTAAGACATTTATTTGATTTGAAGTGGTTGGAAGATAATAATAGTATAAAAATTGACAAAACACTGGGGAAATTATATATATAAAATGAAACTAAAATTTTAAAGCTGAAAATTACCTGACTAAACATTAAATACAAATAAAAAGTAAAATTGGTCCTCAGTATCATATGGTCAAAGACATAAGAAAAATGCCCAGCCGAACCTAAATTCAAAAATTTTTCAAAAGTGACCCACCCTAATATATATATATATATATATATATATATATATATATATATATATATATATATATATATATATACATATATATATATATACATATATATATATATATATATATATATATATATATATATATATATATATATATATATATATATATATATATATATACATATATATATACATATATATATATATATATATATATATATATATATATATATATATATATATATATATATATATATATATATATATATATATATTTAAACAATTTAAAATTTCTACAATTTCTACAAAAAGAGTGCTCAATGTTCTTAAAAGAACAGAGCAATTACAAATTAGTAGAAAATAACTTAGCAAAATTTTTTCTCATTTAACACTGTGTTTCATCAATTAAGACTCATCAGAAAAACTTTTTCTGATGATTTTCTGATGAGTCTTTATTAATGAAACACAGTGTTAAATGAGAAAAAATTTTGCTAAGTGATTCTCTACTAGTTTATATATATATATATATATATATATATATATATATATATATATATATATATATATATATATATATATATATATATATATATATATATATATATATATATATATATATATATATATATATATATATATATATATATATATATATATATAAACTTTATGCAAACTAATTTATGCAGATATATATTCAAAATGACCCTTGGGACAAAAAAAAACAACACCTTTTTTAGAATCTATATCAAAAGACCTATAATGATAAACAATAACTGTTCATTCTCTATAGGATTTTTTCACTTTCATACCATGTTTGCTAAAAACATAATGCTTCACATGATCTTGGTCAGGAGAGTTTAAAACCTTGTGGATTAGGGATGGCAAAAATCCCGAAAATTTTCAATCCTGGGATTTTGGGATTGAGAAATTTGTCCCCGGGAAATTCCGGGACTGAATAGAAAAAAACGCCAACGCAATTGAATACTTTTTAAGCACTAATCACACACTTAAAAATGATCAATTTAATGATAATATAACTAAAATATTTAATACATTAATGAATCTCTAAAATTAAGTTTAATCATGTTTTAACTTAATTTTGTATAAAAACTTATCTAAGACTTTTAAAAATTAATAAACCTAAGTATTATAAATTACAAAACAATAACTTAAAATGGTAACACAGTATAGATAAAAATTAAAATTAAAAAATAAAATATGCATGATGTTAGAAAAAACTTTCATAAATCAAGCATTTTCATAAATCTCACATTTGAAAATTAAAATGATTAGATATAAAAATGGAATTAAAATCGCGCATACTTTTGGAAGCAGAAAATTCAAAATTAAATTAATGTATACCTTCTATTAAAAACTCTTGCTCTTTTCACCAGCAAGCGGTTAAATTTTATTTATTTTTATAATATACTAGTTTTAATATTATTATAAAAAATAACAAAAATACAAGCGCTTGCTGGTGGAAAGAGCAAGAGTTTTTAATAAAAGTTATACATTAATTTCTATTTTATTATATATTTGTAATGATAATTTGGAATGATAATCCTATGAGAATGAGCAATGAATAAAATCTTCAAGTATTTTAAACTTCTTTTTTCACCATTATGTTTGAACTCAAAAGTTCTTTCCAGTCGTTAAAAAAATAAGACGTCCAGTTTGCAATACGTTGTTATGCGTTGTTATGCAAAGATTAAAAATCTCTGGGACATGAGAGGAAGTCAAAATAAAGGCCGATAATAATTTTTTTTTTTAATTTATCTCTCTCAAATATTCATTTAAATGCTCTGGCCCTTTGAACTCCGTGGCCTCCCGGCACATGTGTAGTGTGTCAAGTGGTTAAACTGGCACTGTTTATGGTACTAATAGTTTCATGCCTAAAGGCAATCATTGGACTCAATGATCAATCTTTCAGACTGACCAAACAGCTACTATACAAAAGACGATTTAAAAATTACTAAACTACAATTATAAACTTAAACTTTATTAACTTTTCCTTTTTTTTGACGATCCTGGGATTGCCATCCCTATTGTGGATGTTACACCTGTCTTCAACAAACTCCTGATCAGAATGATAAAAACTTTTTTTATTCAACCACCAAACTGATAAGCTCATAATTATCATCAACTATTGAGCTAAATGAACTAACAATTTTCTGTTAACATTTTTTAATCTTTTATTGTTCTCATTTTGAGCAGAACTTATTCTGGTAATGTTTCTGCTTGACTATAGTCTTCACCTAAATTATTCTTTTTGCTTGGTAATTAACTTTGAATGCATACGTACAGATATAATTCATTCTGTAACTCTTGGCAACAGCACTTTCACAATCACAAAGGTGATTACCTTTTTGTAGCTCATTCTAATCATATCTTAAGAGGCAAATGTTTTTTATGTAACAAATATAGAATAAAAATAAATCACATCTTAAAATAGAAGCATTTATTTACTTGTAAGATCTAGTAGTGAAAAAAAAAGCAAACTCAACCAATGTACATTAAATTGGTTGAGTTTGCCTTTTTTTTTAGTCTAAACCAACCTCCTCCCAATATAAAATCAATTTCAATAATAATTATTATAATAGTATTAACATCCATACCAGTATTAACTTTTTTTATTTTGCTTTTTTTGTAGATCTGTTTTACACTTGCGCTTAGTTTTTAGTAAACTGGTCTGACCTACACAAAATATATTTTCCATCTTGATTGAATTACTATGCATCAACCTCTTTTACCAAATAAACTTTCTGGTTGTTTCTGAACTCAACAGGGAGCATTTTTCAAACCAATCACATAACAATGAGTTAACCAGTAGGAAATCCGCTAACAACTAGCTAACAATATTCATATGGTAAAGACGATTTGATAATAAGGATTGCTAACTAATGAAGCTGACAACTAGCTAGTGATAGCAATCAAATTTTTTTTTTAATTTTTCTTGTGGTTATCTTTTTTTTATTATTAGTTTAGCCAAAGCATCTAGTAATAATAGTTATTGATAGTCAGAAAGCTACAATATGTAGTATTGAATACATATAGATTTTTTGTTGTTAATAAATAGCTACAATAATATAATATCGCTTGTATTTTTAGATAGTGATATCTACTACCTATAAATTTTTAATTATGTCTTAACAAGTTACAAAGCTACAATATGTAGTTATCAAAATATTTATTTAAATTAAATTTTTTTAAATGTTTGTTTTTAAATTTTAAATATTTGTTGCCAACTAAAAACCTGTGGTATGTATAAACATATCGATATAGCAATAGGTAGCTATTCCATTCAGTAGTTATAGAATTATTGATCTTTAGCAGACCTACAATCTGTAGTTATTCATATATCATAATAGTATCGCTAGCTATAAAACTGACCTATTTATGGTTAAGCATTCTGCAAGTAACACATTTCTTTGACTTTTATTGTATATGAATCTTTTGTGGTTTTGGCAACACATTTCAGTACAAAATAAACTCATTTATACCTTCACATGTAGCATCATCAAGGCGTGTCAGTGAATGCTATTGGCTTGGTATAATTGACATGAGAACTTTCCAAAGTAATTAGTCTGAGTCTAAATAGTTATGATACAAGTTTATAAGATATCACTTGGATATTGTTAGGACAACTTTAGGTAGTACATAAGCAAAAGCACAAAAAATATAATTACTAATCAGCAATCTATAATTGGAATAAAAAAAAAAACAGATATTGGAAATAAAATAAGAAATATCATATTTAAAATAATTTATTGATATTTTTAAAAATATTTTCAAATTTATCATAACAATAGTTATGCTCTGTGATAAACTGGCATAACTATATGTGTGTCTAAGCATTCTCATTCAACATGACCCATTCACAAATAGCATCACACAGCTTCAGTCAAAATACATTTAGTGTCAGAATGTCTAAATCTGATTGTTCTTAATAAAACTGACTTCTCTTTAACTTTTTTTTTTAAAGCTATACAGTTACAATTATTAAAATGTTTCATAAATGTACCTGTTGATGCCCATCAGTTGAAGCGATTTTCCTTACTCCATATGTTATACCTTGAATAAGTCCTGATGTAAAAATAAAATGTAAAAAGTGTTTTGTAAGATCTAAATCTATCTTCTGACAAGTAAACTTCTTGTTTTATTTAAATGTAAGAGCTCCTATTTCCTTTATTTGTTTCCTGGCTGAATCAATCATGCACCTTTAAAAAATAGCTTCTATAAACTGTTTTGTAAAAGATTTGAACTATAAGTTATAAGCATTAAAAGAGGTGTAAAATATTCCTTGATAAAGTAATAAACACATTATACAGCAGACTCAAGACTCAAGTTGTAAATAAGTATTTGTATTTATAAAGAAAAATTTACTTCAGCTTATACTGATATACTTTAATTTTGTTTTATCCTATTGTATTGTGTGATGTTGAAATAAAAAATCTTATGTTATATTCAAAAGTTGACACCCAATCTTCTCAGGAAAGGTGTGTAAACTTAAACTAAAATTAAAGTAAACAAACCATAAACTGAAAAGAGAAAAAAAAACTAAACTAAAAAAATAAAAATCTTAAGAAATGACAAAATAAATAAATAAATAAAAATAAAAATTATAAATTATATAAAAAAATTGTGGCTATCTATCTGTCTGTGGTCATTTTCATTTTCCAAGTTAAACTTGAAAAAAGTCAAGGTTTTCCTTTCCAAAGTAAGCTTAAGAAAAGAAAAAAATGAACTTTGTTTATAATCAATCTGAAAGAGTTCTACGAAAAAATAAAAAAAATAAATAAATAAATAATTTAATAAAGTACTTATGGTCATTTTAATGAAAAACAAATGTGATTGCAATTTATTTGATGTCAATTGACATGAAACTAACATGAACAACTTTTGATTTGATATTGCAAGGAGTATCTACAAAGATGTTGATATATAGGATATACATATATATATATATATATATATATATATATATATATATATATATATATATATATATATATATATATATATATAAATATATATATATATATATATATATATATATATATATATATATATATATATATATACACACACACATAGATATATACAATATATACAGGATATATATATATAGTATATATATACTGAGGCAATATCAATATTAAAAAAGTTTTTTTTAATGCATTAAAATTAGACTATTTTTGTACAGTTAAAATAAGTTTTTTTTTAATGATATGAACCAATCTGAACCAAAAAACCGTTCATGGAGATATTAGAGTTCAGAGTAAAACAAACTTAATTTCATATTTTAAATAAGAGGCCAAAATTAAAAAGAGTTATAAGATAACTTATTGCAAAAGCAGTGCTGTTTTTTTGTGTATATGGCCATTTTGAATGAAGAATATCTTTTACATTTAGACAATAAGATCCATTGAGGTCATTTAATTTATTGAGAGGACTTAAGCAAACCAACTATTTTCAAAAATAATAGCTTATTGGTGCATTGACTTTTGAAAATAAGCATCAATTTTATTTTTTAAAAGCAGGTGAAGTTATGAAACAGGATTTTTAGACTAAACTTGAGCTTTAAAGGAGTACTTTCCAGTCAATAAAACCTGAAGTTCTTTTTTAATATAAAACATTCTAATATAAGACTAAATTAACAAAAGACGTTGTACTCGAATGTAAAGAACTTGTTTTATTGAATGAATTAAAAATTTTATCATTAACTTTGTCATTATAAATTTTTGGTTCAGATTTATATGAATTATTTAACTGGTAACTTTTGTTTTCGCATAGAAAATTCACAAATGAAGAGGAAAACTCTAATTTAAAAAAATTTACTGCCAACTAAAGGAGAACTGAAGGAGAGGATTATAAAGATTAAATTATCATAAAAGTAAAAAATAAAAGAAATAAAAAATTATTACACTCTCTAAAACGTTTTTAGAGAGTACAATACATTATAAATGCTTATTTTAAAGCTTTTAACTTTTTTGTTTCTATATTATACCACCATGAAATCTAAAATATAATTCTAAAATATAAATAAAGAAACTAACCATACGACTAATACCAGTATTGGCTTTAAAAGTTGCACGAACATGATCTCGTTCACTTGATAAGGCAAATAATGGATCTAAAATTATACAATCCAAATTTAACAAAATTACAAATATATATATATATATATATATATATATATATATATATATATATATACATATATATATATATATATATATATATATATATATACATATATATATATATATATATATTATATATATATATATATATATATATATATATATATATATATATATATATATATATATATATATATATACATATATATAAACTCTTAGTCCATATAGCAACACTTTTTTGCGGCAGCCAGCTATGAGATAATTGATGAATGTACTGAAGCCAATGACAGCAGGTATTTCAGTGTGGAATCACCACCCTCAACAACAACAAAAAAAAAAACACTTAAAAAACCCCTAATGTGAATAAATTTTTATTTGCAATTTGTTTAACCCAGTGGTCACTAGACGTGTTTTAATTGTCTAAAATATATATTTTACACAGTTCACATTTTAAAAATAAAATATAATATATCGCTAGTTTTTTAGCTAGTGATATCTACTTCCTATAAATTTTTAATTATGTCTTAGCAAGTTACAAAGCTATAATATGTAGTTATCAAAATATTTTTTTATATCAACATTTTTTTAAATGTTTGTTTTTGAACTTTAAATATTGTAACTAAAAACCTGTGGTATGTATATACATATTGATATAGCGATCTAGTAGTTATAGAATTATTGATCTGTAGTTATGTAGTCATCTAGTAGTTATAGAATTATTGATCTGTAGCAGACCTACAATCTGCAGCTATTCATATATCATAATAGTATCGCTAGCTATAAAACTGGCATCACCACCCTCAACAACAACAACAACAAAAACATTTAAAAAGCCCCTAATGTGAATAAATTTATAATTGTAATTTGTTTAACCCAGTGGTCACAAGACGCGTTTTATTTGTCTAAAATATGTATTTTACACAGTTCTCATTTTAAAAATGAAATGGAAATTTCACCTACATATCCAGCAATTTACATTAAGCAAAAACTTTTATCCATAGGAATATTTAAAATACATTTTTATAAAAAACATGTTTTTTTGTAAAAACATATTAACTACATTTGTAAAATAATTACATTTTGTGATAAAAAAAAGAAAGTTAAACTTTTTGAAATTAAAAAACTTTAAATAATTATGATTTTGAAAATTAAAAATTTAAATTTAATTTGAAGGAATGTAAAATAGTTTTGAAATACTTCTAGTTTTGAAAGAAATAACTATTTCCTTTTTATTTGCAAACCAATTCATTGTGTAAAAATGTTGAGATTTTATGAAAATCTCTTTCATAGATTCAAATATGTAAAAGTAACCATTAAACTTTATTCAATGTGTTAACAAAGGAGAAGTGTTTTTGCTTCAGAAAATTTTTTTAATTAAAAATTTTTGTTTTTAATTCAAAATTACATTAAGTTCGTATGACATAAGCTTTATTTATGAACATAAATTGTTTACAAATATCTTATTGTTAACTGATAAAATATAAACTGTTTAAAATCTTTATTAAAAATAGTTCATTAAATACTTCAAGAAAAAAAAAAAATTATTATGTTATAAAAGGTAATGTATGGCTAAAAAAAAACAATTTTTTTAAATTTATTTGAATTTAATTTATAATGCTGGACTTTATTAATATAGGAATTTATAACTTATAGAATTTTAAGTTTGTGAGCATTAGCTTGGGCGCCCAAACAGTATGGAATTATGTCTGGGTATGACACTAATATATATATATATATATATATATATATATATATATATATATATATATATATATATATATATATATATATATATTATATATATATATATACATATATATATATATATATATATATATATATATATATATATATATATATATATATATATATATATATATATATATATATATATATATGTATATATATATACATATATATATATATATATATATATATATATACATATATATATATATACATATATATATATATATACATATATATATATATATATATATATATATATATATATATATATATATATATATATGTATATATATATATATATATTTCAGTCTATATATATATATATATATTTCAGTATATATATATATATATATATATATATATATATATATATATATATATATATATATACATATATATATATATATACATATATATATATATATATATATATATATATATATATATTTCAGTCTGAATGTGAAGCTCTACGAATTTGCCGTGACAAACTTGAATCTGAACTTCAAATGATTGACGATGAAATAAAAGAAACAATATACAATATTACCACAGAAAACCTAATACAAGAAGATTTACACTCTACTTTCATACTTTATATGAACAAAGATGTTGATTTTACCAACAAAAAAGGGACCACAAAATTGAAGGAATGAGAAAAGCATATGAAAGAGACAAACTAAAAACAAAATCATTAATTAAAAGAAATGATAAAAGAATAGATAGTATTCAACACGCAACAAACAGTCAGGATTTTGAAACTGTACAACAAATACAACAAACAAGCACTTCTCAAATTAATGATTTATCTCTATCTGATAATAATCTACCATCAAAAATCTACCAACGACCCCAACGAGCAGTAAAAATAAAAAAATAACACCTAAAATTAAAAATTTTATCCAAAATGAAGTTATCAAAGTTACAAATATCACTATTACTCAAAGGTCCTAAGTTAACTCCCACAACCAAAGGTAAACTATTTTCAGTAAAATACGATTTAAAAGAATTTACTAGGAAATTGATTATCCATGAACAGTTTTATATATGAAATATATTTAAAAAAAACAAACTTAATTTTAAGATACGAAATTAAGTTTTTTTTACTCTGAACTTGAATATCACCATGAACGGTTTTTTGGTTCGAATTGGTTCATATCATAAAAAAAAACTTACTTTATACAGTGTTGATATTTCTAACCTTTATACTAGTATTTCTCATGAAATAGGTTTAGAAGCAATTAAATTTTGGATATGTAGACTACGTGATGATATACCTAACAGATTTTCGGAAGCTTTTATTTTAGAAAGTGTGAATTTTATTTTAAAGAACAACAATTTTACTTTTAATAATGAGTTTTTTAATCAATTAATCGGAACAGCTATGGAAACAAAAATGGCTCCACCATATGCTTGTTTAGTAGTAGAATATCTTGAAGAAGCTAAATTATTTCCTAAAGTTTTACTAAATTTCTTCAATAAAATTGAATGCAATAAGAACACATAAGTACATCAAGCTTTAATAAGAAACCAGTTCTTATTAACGATGAATGCAAGGTTTTAAAATGTAAATCAAAATGCTGTAAGCAATGTACTATGTATCTTCAGTTTGTTAACCATTTTACAGCATCATCTGGTAAAGTATGGTACATTAAAACTTCAATATCATGTAATTCAAAAAATATCATTTATTTTCTATCATGTAATGGATGTGATGGAAAAAGCACATACATTGGTAAAACTAATAACATAAGGTTAAGAACTAATCTACACATCTACACCTGTAGAACAGGTATTGGTTCAGATAAATTTGATCAGCATGTCTTTAATTGCCATAAAAATGAACCTTTTTTAAAATTATTTCCTATGTTAAAACTTTCAAATGAGAATTTACTTCTTATTTATGAAGCTCACCTACATAAACAGGGACATGACACAATGAACTTATAATTAGAAAGTAATTATTTTTACATTACTTTTAAAAAGATTTTCTTATAGTTATACTATATTATGGTTACTTATAGTTTTTTTATATAAACCTTAATTACTTCCTTTTTTAACTTTTTAGAGGAAGTTTAATAAAAAGAACTTTGATAGTTTTATATATATATATATATATATATATATATATATATATATATATATATATATATATATATATATATATATATATATATATATATATATATATATATATACTTTTGCTTGGTTGTCTTTAATTTGTACAATAAAAAACTTTGTTTTTTAAAAAAAAAAAATTCATTTAAAAAACCAGGAAAATTTTTTTTTTTTTTTTGAATTATGTTAATTATTCTTATTGAAATATTGCCTAATAGTTGATGGATTGCCTGCCAAAACCAAAGCCCTCAGTCAATGCAGCAGTACTCCTTGCATGTTCTACCTATTTGTTGATGTAGCAGATATATGTAAACAGTAAAAAAAATATAAATAAAACATTCAGAATTTTATTTTAGGTTTTTTTTAAAATATCATCTATTGAAGAAACCTAATTAGAAAATTCTGATAATTCTTGGTCAAGTGTCATTTGTAAACTGAAATATTTATTGATTTAGGGCTATCCATAGAGGACGTAATGCAAACGAGGGAGGGGGGGAGGAAGGGGGGAAGCTGTAGCTGATTCAGACGTTGCCATCAAGAATCATTTCCTTCTATATTTTTCTTTGCTTATTCAGAGCAACATTTCTTAATCCAACTTCCTCCTAATGATCTGTTTTGTCATTCTATGCAATTGAGTTTGTCTCAGAGAATGTAAATTCTGTAAGAATTGCAACTTTGCCTCTCAAGCTATACTCAAATAGCATGTTGGGCTCTACTCATTCCAATGTTACTAACCAAATGGCTATTATTCTTTGTGAGTCAGACCTGTTTGCCACTTGGCAACTGTTCGCCACTCTGCATTGCCATCAAGTGCAGAAGAGGATTGATAGCCGTAACCGATTGGTATTCCGAATGATGCAACTGTTTCAGACAATTTGGACTGTCCTTTTCCAATCATATCACTTTGATTAAATATAATATATAGAATAAGATTTGAAATAATATAAACTTTTTATTTTAGGGAGTCCTACAAGAACAAATTACTATGAATCAAATGTGGAAGTTCCCAATCAACACCAGGTTGATTTTAAAGCATAGAAAACTGTAATTCGCATGTGAAAAATGTCAATAAACATGCTTAAATTAAGAATAAATTTTATTAAAAGAAAAAAAAAGGGAGGGAAGAGGTCCCACTTTTAGGACATCTTTTTTAAGAGAGGAGTATAGGCAAAAATGGTGAGGTTCTTTATGGATGGCCCATTTGTAATATTAATCAATCATAATAAGTTATATTTTTGTTGTATTGCACACATATCCATTGTTTCATAATTTAAATTTTGAAATGCAAACAGTATTTTTCCCTGGTTTTTTTTTTATTTGTTTTTTTCTGGCATTATGAATATTTGCATAACTCTCTGTTGATACTCCCCCCTCAAATTTAGGGGGTTACAAATTTTAAATGGTCATAATTTTATATGGTCATAATTTTATATGGTCATAATTTTTTAACGCTGAGAGATTATACTAAGGAATTTAAAATTTATCGATTAATATAAATTTAGTTGAGGAAAAAAATATTTAATCAACTTGTTACTCTCATATTTTGGAGGGAGGACGAGGGCAAAAATTTTGGGGTCTTTTGTTACCAGTCTCCTATCATCACAATATTTTGCAAAATATACTTTTTTGACATAAGTATAAACATATAAATGTTTAGAGTTTGCTCTACTATTTAACAAATATTTGTACTAAACTTTTAAAAAACTAGAAAAGTTAAACTTTCTTAATGTGTACTTTTTAATTATATTAACAAACCTTAGAAATGAGTTTAATAATGTTAAAAGTTTTGTATTTCATCCATTTAGTAAACATCGAAAATATGCTTATTATCTTTCTGTATTCTTCATTATTTTAAGCTTGCACGTTTTTTATGTGCCTGTCAAATTTTATTGAAAAATTTTCAATAATATATATATATATATATATATATATATATATATATATATATATATATATATATATATATATATATATATATATATATATATATATATATATATATATATATATATATATATATTATTGAAAATATTTTATTGAAAAATTTGCATGCACACTATCTATATTTTTACCCGTACTTTTGGTAGCTAATTTCTATTTTCTTAAACCATTACCAGGAGATAAGGGAAGAGGATAAACATTTTGCTCAAATAAACAAACATTGATTTTTCAAAATTAAACTATTAATAATGTGAAAACTATTATAAAGTTTATGTAAAAAGCTTTAACATAAACTAATAAATTTTTTAAAGATTGTATACAATGTAATAATATGAATTAATTTAGATAAAATGATTTTGCCTATCAAATAATCAGCAATGATATGACAAAACTGTTTTTTGCTCTATAAAATTCGAAAGAATGGCAAAAGATCTGCTTAAATTAGTAGAAATATCATTTTAATGGTAAGTTTTAAAAAAGAATTATGACTATTGCAACAAATTTTGATATTTTAGCATTGTTACAGTTTAATTTACACATATAACAATAATAAAATATCAATAACATCAGTAAATAGTTGTCGCACGATCCCATCACATATACTCAAAAAATTTTATTTCACACTTTAATAATTAATAAAAACATAAATAGTTAATCAGACCATATAAGTAATCATGTGCCCTTGATTCTTGAATATAAGCTTTTGAAATCGTTCGAGTTTCAGACATGATTATTTTTAGTTTCAGGTGTTGCAAAATTCATTGTACGCAAGGTCAGAATATATATGTATATATAACAACCGTTGTCATAGTAAAATGTTTTAAACTGGGCAGAGCTGGAAAAAACCTATTTCAGAAAGTGGGTTTTTGGGTTTTTTGGATTGTTTTGGTTATTAAGGGTTTTTAGGGTTTATTGAATTTTATTTTTAAAGGCTAGATATCATTATCAAAATGAAAAAACTAAATATTAATGACTGCTTGACAATCATATATATATTTTTTAATTTATGTTATTATTTAGGTGCCCCAAGAAGACCTAACGGTCTTATCGCAGAGCGCTGCGGAACAGCATTTAACTAGGAAGTTCACGTCTCCTTCCTGACGCGAAATATTTCCAGAGTTTGTTTCGAACCTGGATCTCCTTTTTTCGCTCTAACCACTACGCCACAGCCGCATTCATAGTATGGAGATTTCCAGAAAATTCAATGAATATCATAACGAATTTTTTTTTTTTTTTTTTTTTTTTTTTTTTTTTTATATTATTATAATTATAGTTGTAGCCGTAAATTTACATAGAATGTACACATACAGCGAGCAGGGAAAACACCCTACTATAAACAACCAGTTTTATAAATAATTGTTTCAAACTTATTCCACAACCAGGAGTCTAGTCTATTTTTGAAGGAAAGTACAGTGGAGTACAAAGTTATTTGCTCTGGTAGTTCGTTCCAGTATTTTGCTGATCTATTATACAAATGATTATATCTTGGAAGACAGTTTGGAACATACTCACGCCTTATTTTAGAATGGTGACCACGAGACATGGAGTTAATATATATTTTGGTAGATATTTATCATTAACTATATCAAAACGATGTATTAATTTAAAAACTTGGATTAAATCGCATCGAAGGCGTCGAAACTCAAGTGATGGTAGATTTAATCTTTTTAGCCTTTTGCAGTATTGAAGATGCCTCAAGCTGTAAGCCCATTTTGTTGATTTTGTTGCTCTGTGATAAGACCGTTATACCTCCATTAACTATGATTATTAATTCAGACTGGTGGAAATCGGCAAGCAATATAATTTAGGAAAACTATTTATAAAAGACTCAATAATTGAAATCAAAGGTAAACGCAAAATTATATTTGGCGTAAAAAATAAGTTTGAGTAAAAGAAATACAAAGTAAGGTCTGTAAAATCGGTATCATTGACTTCCGTGACAGTAGCATCACTGTCATCTAAAGCATGTGACATTGATGTAAATGGGTAAAAATTGAGTAGTTTAAGCACTATTTGTTATCACTTAGTTTCAGAAAGAAAAGGAAATTTTTAAACCTTTTCAACGTGGAAAACCTTTTCAAATTTGAACCGGAATAATTTCAGAAAGATAAGAAAAATTTTAATGACGTTTGGTAGCGTTAGATAACTAATATATATCGTAATAAAAATTGTTTAGTAGAATATTTATAGAAAATCATACTTTAATATTTGTAGCAATTATTTTAATTAAAAATTAGTTTGATGGAAAACCTTTTCAAATTTGAACCGGAATAAAAAATTTGAAAAATATAACTTTTAGTTAAAGACTGAAAGAAGAAGACAGACAAGAAGACAGACAGGATAAAAGAATCTTACAGCCTTTTCTGCAATTTTAATGTGACAAATGAGAACATTACAATAACTGCCTAGCTTTTGCTGATGTTTAAATATTAAAACAATTGAACTACTGTTTTTACCACCAATCACTATCTCTAAATTCAACTAATAGACCAGGGAGTTATCAGTGAATAGAAAACCTTTTATTGTACAAATTTTATTTGCCGTCAGATTGACTATATTGTTGCAAGTAAAACAATCCCAAAAATCAATAGTCTTGAAGCCATGCACATGTTGACCATTTCATGGTAGGCATGTTGACCATATCATGGTAATTTGTAAAAATGCTATCACAGATCAATAATTCTGAATTCCATTTTAATCAACAATTGTGTTGTGGAAGAAGAAGGGGACAGATAAGGAATCCAACAGGAAAATGCGGAGACTTTTATTTAAGAGGTTAAAAAACTGCTTAGAAACGAAAAATCAACTAAAAGTGTACAATTTTTTCAAAAAACTGTAAATTTTTTTTTAATTTAAAAGTTAAATACTTACGCTCTATCTTAATCGAAATGTGTTCTTTGTTTTGCAACTAAAATTTGTGAAAAGTAATGGTTAGGGATCGTCCATAAAGTACGTACGCTCGGATGCGGGAGAAGGAGTTTTCAAATGGCGTATATGAGGTGGGGGGCAGGGGGTAAATTATAAAGTAAGAAGACACTAAATTTAAAAAAATATCATAAAATGTTGGGTATTATTAATTATTTATGTGTTATGCAAGAAAACCTAAAATTAGTTGATAATTCATATCTTGGATATATTTGTAAATGTAACTTTAAATAACAACCAATGAACTTTCATGAAGCATCTTTGCCAAAGCCACCTTTACGGATGTTCAATAAAAATCTGTGAAATTTATAAATTGTTTTCACTCTTTATTAGTAAGCCATAAAACAGAAATGCATTTTTGTATTTATTTTTTAATCTTTATTAAATAATAATATCATAACCTTTAAGTATTGATTCTTTTATTAGTTTCAATATAAGTGACTTTTATCAATCTAATATTTCCGATTTTTCCTATTTGAGGCGAGTTGATTTGGCTAAGTCGTTCACGAGATTCTTATTAACTTTCTTGAGATAGGAACTTATCCTAATACGAAGTTGTATCAGATTTTTTTATTGAAATATTTTGCATAGACTATTCCATTTAGAATACTCCAAAAACCCTCAATTAAACAACATTTTTGTATGTTTGGGAGATTATCAATTTTGGCCACCAAAGTTATGGAATTTTTTTACCAAAAAATGACATCATTGCAAGGATACCAAAATAATAGGCCAAAATAAGTATTGGTCATTAACATGATATTTTTAAATAAAAACCATTAATGACTCCTAATCCGAGAAACAACTGAAAAAGAATTTTTTAGTAAAAGTTTGCAGTTTTTCTATATTTTACCCTCGCAGGTGTTTGTTCAAGTTTGCTTGAATAAAAAATGTAAACGTCGTTTATTGAGATGTAAGTTAAAGTGAAATAAAATTTAGATTTTATCGATAAATATAAATTTATTTTAAATTATTAAAAATATTTTTTAAATATTTTTAAAAAATTTATCAACCTGTTGCTTTAACGTTTAGGGCAATTGAGGCCAAAACTTTAGGGTTTTTTTGTTCCCATACTACAATCATCACAATTTTTTGCAAAGCGTCCTTATTTGACATAAGTATAAACATAAGCATGTTTGGAGTTTGTTCCGTGTCTAGAAATAAGCCTCAAACATCAAAAAATGCTCGATCTGCCCCTAATATGCAGACACACACACGTTCTAAGATTTCTTTGATCCTCAACCTGTCCTCACTGATTTTGATTTCGGCAATGATGAGCAATTCCGATCTCAGTAAAGCTTAGGGTTGTACTACATGAACAAATAATGAACTTTTATCTTATTAGAAAAATGCTCTTAATCCAAATATAAAGACATACATTCAATGCAAATATTCAGGCTAATACATTCGGTATTCAAACTATAGAGTGTAATTCAATAAATAAATTACATATGCGTATAATATAAGATTGATATAGATCAGTTTGTAGCAGAGCCTTTTTCTACTCGTTATTTCGAGATTCACACCAATTTCCCTTATTGCCCCCTTCTGATTCAAGAATAATTTAAAAATACAGTTTATTTAAAGGATTACATTTAAAATTCCACAAAAATACAAATATACATGCTAAAGTATTATAAAAGCGAATAAACCTGCATTATAATAAATTTTTATTATTTTCCAAAATAATAGAAATCATTTGGCAAACGCTTTTATATAAATAGCCAATAGGCAAAAAATTATATATAAATAGCTAATAGATTTAAAATAATATAACACATAGCAAAAAAATGGCAAAATGTCAGTGATTTTGCATATTGCAGCATGTCTTATTATAAAGTACGCGTCAAAATTACGTGCCTGATATAAAATAAATAACTTCTAACAATTTTCTAGCAGTTTTTAAAACACAACTTCATGTTTGGTATGTATCGGCAACTTCAATTGTCAATGATTAGTTTGCTTATTACGTTTTATTCTAAGTGTTAGTCTTTTTTGTTAGTAGAGTTTACACTACAAAAAATCAAAAAAATTTGGAAAGCTAGTATCTATCCGAAGATATAAATAAAAAACAAAAAATACGTAAAAAACAATTTTTTAATTAAAATATAAATAAAAAAAGAACTACTTGCATACAAAACTATAAATGCAAAAAACAAATCCTAGAGTTTTGAAGTTGAACATTTTGATCAAATCGAAAATTGGAAATGTTAAATAATTTTTCTGTTTATTTATTTTAGAAAAAACCCATAGGGAATCACCTTTTCACAATATCAGTTACTTCGCCTATGAAAGCATCGCATATACCAGGAGACTGTTGCTCAGAAGTTTTTATTTTGTTTTCAAGTTCTTCAATGACTGATATTCGATTTGAATGTTTTACTTTTAACTTTTAAGAAAATGAACACTGTTAAATGCTTAAAAATGAAACTTTTTTAAGATGTAATAAAATTAATCAGATTTTTGTTATCAAAAACATAAATAGTAATAAATTAAAATTTGGAAAAAGATTTTAGTACCTGCGCTAAAATTGGCAACAATATTCTCGATAGTGATTTTGACTGCGGTAGCTCAACTGGTGTACTAAACACGTGCGTTTTGTTAGTCACAGTAGAAGATAAATTATCTGGAGCCTGGAGTCGATTTACAGCAGACGGTTTAATTGTAAAAATCCAAGGATCTTGAGAATGATCTTCTTTTAAAGAATCTCTAAAAATCAATAAAGAGATAATAAAGAGATAATAAAGAGATAATCTTGTCGATTTCAAAACCAGAATAAAATAAAGTAACATTAAAATATTAAAGTATTAGTAAATATAATTCATTGAAATTCAGAAAAAAATCAATAAACTAAAATTTTGCTAATACAATTAAATAAGTTGAATTATAAGAAAAAATTTATTGGATAACAATTATAAAAAAAGCCAACTAATGATAAACAAAGGAACAATATTTAATAGTTTTTATATTATCTAATTTTTCCAATTAATTTTTTAGCCAGGAAATATAACTCACATTCTACTATCATCATCGGAGTCAATTCCGTCGTCACCACCATTCATTCTCCATTTTCTATACTTGTCTATAAGTTCAACTAATGTACCGGTGCGTCTTGCTTGTTTAATAAATCTATGCTTGAGCAAATCTTTTGCAGACTGACGCTAAAATTAAATTACTGAATTTAAAATATAAAAATAAATGACTGAATATAATGTAAAACAACCGTTTACGCAATTAATCCAATATTTAGGCTTTAAAATTCTCTCTACTATTAATAAATATTTTTTAAAATTTAGTATTTCTTTTTTAATTGAATATAATAAAAAAGATTTTTTTACCTCTTGAGGAACTTTATTTAAACAGCAAGAAACAAAGTCTTTAAATAATTTACTAAAATTTCCTGTTAACTCAGGTGGATTATTTTTTGGTATAAGAAATAACACTCTCATTGGATGCAGTTCAGCGTGTGGTGGCTCACCTTTTGCTAATTCTATTGCTGTAATACCCAGTGACCACATATCAGCCTAAAAAAGAACTTTTTTTAATTATTATGCATGCAGGATTATTCACAATAGATGTAGAAAATGATATAAAACTTCACTTTAACTTAAATGATTACTTAGGTATTCAAAAAAGAATATCAAATTTTTCCTGTAAATCATACTATTATTTTGGGGGAATTATGGATTCTAATTAAATTTTTTTCTATAACACATTACAATGTATTATTCACAGAAAAAAAAAGCTTAAGTAGCAGTATGAATTTAAAAGAAATAAAAAATAAATTTAAAGGAAATAACTTTAAAACCAAAAATTTGAGTAACAAATCAAATTGTTTTACAAACCAGAAAAGTAAACATAACTAGATTTATACAAAAAAAATTTGTACAAAAAAAAAAAAAAAAAAAACTATATTTAACTATTATTCCAACATTTAACTAAACTATATTTAAACTATATTTAAAGTGGTTTTCTAAAAAAATTTGCTTGTGTTACTGATAAAGTTAACACCTTGGAATCATACTCTGATTGCTTAATAACTTCAGGTGCCATCCAAAATGGAGTTCCAACAAAAGTATTTCTTTTATTCATTGTATTAGTTAACTGACCAGCAACGCCAAAATCAGCCAGTTTTACATTTCCTTGTTCTGATAAAAGCACATTAGCAGCTAAAAGAATTTATACATCAGAATTATAATCATTATGATCATCAACACAATTATCACATCATCGTCATCACCATCACAATCATCATCATCATCATCATCATCATCATCATCATCATCATCATCATCATCATCATCATCATCATCATCATCATCATCATCATCATCATCATCATCATTATCATCATTGCCTGCATAAAAAAATTAAACCTTTAATATCGCGATGCAATTTTCTTTCTGCATGCAAGTATTCCAACCCTTTCAATACTTCTCGGAGTACAATAGGTATATAAATTTCATCAAATGGTCCAGCTTTCATCTATTATGTAAAAAATATTTTTAAGAGATTGAATTATATAAAAAAAAATTGCAAATTTAAAAAAATACTATTTATTAAATAAAAACAGGCAAGTTGTGCCTTTTTTTATTATAGAGGCATATATAGAGGCAACTAAACATAAACATACATATATACATAGTGGATTATGTGGATGAACAGTGGATGAACACCGCATCAGAGGTTGGAACAAAACAAAAAATCAAGTTAATGAAATAAATAACAGTGGTTATTATTGGAATAAATTTAAATTCAAAATATCAAAAAATTAAACCTTGACCATATTTAACACATTCAATCATACACAACTAAATTTAACATCCAAATAAAAAACAGTTCAACAAATTTGTTAAACAAAAAGTGCTTAACAAATTAGTTTTAAGTATTCTGATGGTACTTTTGACTAATAAAACTGATTTGGCTAATTAAATTGATAAGACCAAAGCTCCATGGTTTCAGTCTCATCAATCAAGGGAAGTTTAATGGTAACCATTAAAAGGTACTTCTTAAACATTTAGATGAATTGAAAAACCAAGCTCAAGCTTTTAAAAGAGTACATACACATTTTTCTATTCTGTAACATTAAGTTTGGGTTAATGGTACAACTATCTTAGCCATTAATGTAAATCAAATGATAAGAAATTTTCATTTTGTGATTATTGTTTGATAAAATAATTAATATATAGATAACAAAAAAAAAAAAAAAAAAAAAAAAAAATAGAAAAATTATATTAAATTAAAAAATTGAGTTGAGTGACTTAAATTAAAGTCTTTAATGACGTCATGCAAAAAAAAAAAAAAAATTATAAAAAAATTTTGTTATCAAACTTATTTCCAATACAGCTGCAAGCAAGCAATACTTAAATTAAGAAAAAGAAAGTAGAGAGTTTAAGAGCAAAAAAACTTGGTCCCATTTTCCTGTTCAAACCACATCATTTCCAAACTAAGATTGCTCTTCAAAACATCACTTTCTTTAGGTGTTTAGTTGTGACTTTGGTGTAGCAGCAAGTAGTTAATATAGCAGTATTTTGATCATTGAAGTGATTTCAAACTGTCGCACAAAAAGAAAAACATATCATTCACATTTTTGAGGAAAGGAGAGGCTTTGAGGTTTATACAACTTTATAAAAAGTTATAACTAATTAAAAGTTATAACACTAGCCTATATTAATCACAACTTTTTTACAATTTTATAATACTTTATACAACTTTAATCAGAAACCAAAAGTAAGGCAAAAAATGGCTCATTACAAAGAGAAATACTAGCAGGCAATGTTGCTGCAATGAAAGAAAAAGACATGGTTGGATTAGTTGTAACCAAGCAACAAATAACTGTGTCACTGTGTCAACAAATAACTGTGTCATATGATGCCAAAGTGCAAACTTTGGCATCATATGAGCCTGTTTTAACTGTTTTAACTTATTAACAGGCGTAAAGAAAACTCTTACTACAATTGTACATTGTCTTTTGTCTCTTAAAATAATACTCAGCAACTTTGTGCTCAGAAATGTCTGACTTTTTTTACCCATTCCCCACCCAAAAAAAATAAATAATAAAATTTAATCTGAAAAGACAAACAACTTAAAGATTTTCGGTTTACTCTGACTTTTGAGTTAGTTTTACATGCAACCCAGTAAAGCAGACAAAAGTTTGCAATCTAAATTTATGTGGTAGTGGTATAATGGTAGAGCGCTAGTAAGTGAGAGATTCCAATTTCGATCTCAACCTGGTAGTAACATGGTCAACATGTTTTTCTGTGCAGCAGCCTTGTTCGCCAAAATTCCTGTTTCAGAGTTAAAGAGTTGAGAGAGGGTTTTAACCACAATTAAGCCTCATTGTCTGTAGTGGCCTTCTCAGCTTTGAGAACGCGAGTTTAAATTTAAAAAATATATATGAACTTGTGTAAAGGTAACAAAAGAACAGTTGCTGTTTAAATGATATTTTGATATTGATGGATTGCAACACTCTTATTACACTTTAGTTATTTTATTCAGAATTTAAGCAAATGTTCATCTAAATTTTATTAAAATTTAAAGAAAACAATCTTTTGCTGTTTTTGTTTTAGTTGTTTTTATTTCAATTATTTTATTTTGAATCAAAATAAAACTTTGCGGTTTGTTTTTCTTATATATATTTTATTTAGAATATAAATATGTTTGTTTTTTCCATTTTTATCCTAATTATTTTATTTAAAAAATAAATTAATTTTTTATGTCTCGATTTTATTTTATTTCATTATAGAAAATAAACAAATGGTTTGCTTTGCTGTTTTTATTTTATTTAGAATTTTATATATATATATTATATATATATATATATATATATATATATATATATATATATATATATATATATATATATATATATATATATATATATATATATATATATATATATATATATATATATATATATATATATATACCCACACACACACACATGTATATGTGAACAATGAATATATGAATAACAATGAATAACAATGTATATGTGAACAATGAATATAAATGGAAATACATTGCATTATGAAGATAAAAGATTCCTTGAGTCACATTTTTAATGGTGTTTAATATAAAGATAACAATGTATACATGATGAACATATATATATATATATAATAAATGATTAAAAGAATAAAAAAATTAGCTTTCTAATATGAATTTGTCACATATTGTAGAACAGAAATTGTAAAGCTACTTACACAACTACTTAAAGTAATTTATAAGGTATACAAATAAATCTTTTTCTGGCTGCAGTTTGGCATAAAGAAGAAATTATAACTGATCCAAAATAACTGTTTACACTTCATTACAAATAATTTATTTAATAAAAATAAAGTTTACAATGATCATTTTTTGAAATAAAACAATTTCTTTGTACCAAAATGCCTGATACAAAAATAATAGCATGTGTTGATATAGTTATAGTTGATCATAAGATTTAACATTTTAAAATGTTCATTTTGAAAGCAATGATTAAAAAAATAAAAATCAACAATTAACAGAAATCAATTACATAGAAATATCAGAAACCAACAAGTGCTTATGAGAATGTCAGATATCTACAAATAATTAACAAGTGTAATCAGAAATCAACATCAGAAACATAAGAAATCTATGATCAAGAGTAATTATTTTAATTTGTTAAAAAAATTAAACTAATCAGCAAAGAAATTAATTTAAAAAATAAGATAAAAATATACTTAACAAAACAAACAAAAATATGACTTACTATACAATAGTAGTTAACCATTAAATTTAATATAGGGCTTATATTAAATTTAATGTTACAGCTTACAAAATATTTCCCAAAACTATTTTGTTCTCTAATAATTTTTACTCATCATTATAAAAATATTGCAACTATTTCAGTTTTGAAAAAAGAACAGAAGAATATGTTTAGTAACTTTTTTTTTAATTAACAAATCGGAAAACATAGAATAACAATATATTTTCAAAAAAAATTTTTAATTATAAAAATTTTACCAAATCCAAAGCTGAGCCACCTCCTAAGTACTCCATGATTATCCATAGTTTGGTACCCTAAAAAATGCAAAGACAATTATAAAAGCAAATTTAATAATTCAAACAGACATTACTAAGCTATCATTAGTATTAGTAATAATATAAAAATGATCAAGCCATATTTGAAAAAAATATTTATACTACTTAAAAATATTATATTACTTTCTTTTTAATAATTCAATTTTACTTTTTATAACTTAAATAAAATTTGTTCATTTATTAAACAACCAACAGAAGTAAAAACAATTTGTGCCATTTTAATAAAATGTTAAAATATAAGTTTTAAAGTAATTTTTTTCACAATCAAAATTTTTTTCGCAATTAAAAATGTAACAAAAAGTAGTTTTCACTTTTTTGAGTTTTGTTTTGAAGCAAATTTATTTTCTTTTTCATAAGGAATTGTTTTATTTATTCTTTAGTTTTTTCAAGTTTCAGTTTAGCTTAAACTAGGAAGTTAATACTTAAACTAAACAGCTTAAACTTAAAAGTTTTAGCTGTTTAACTCTATTTGAGTGCATTTCTGAAACGATTAAATCATCAAAACACCTAAACAGTCGTGATCAAGTTGTAAACAAAAAAAATCATTTGTGTGGTCAGCAACAGCGTTCAATTGAATGCCATTCCTGTTAAAGCCTATATATATCAGGGGTTATTCTAGACCGTTTTCGACAGTGTCAAACTTATTTGGATGCCGCCGAAATTAAAATTTGAGGACCTTCTTTTTTAAATGTTTTTAACAGCAAATTTTGTTTTTTTCTCAAAAATTTGCCTTTATTTGGCAATATTTCAATTAAATTTATCTGAGACAGGAGAGGGGAGGGTGTACTGCTGCCCAAATTTTTAGCCCCTGTATGTACATATATATATATATATATATATATATATATATATATATATATATATATATATATATATATATATATATATATACATATAATTATATATACACATATATAATTTGTAGAATTCAATTCCGATGGGAATTCAATTCCTGTCGGTCAAAATGTCTGATTATATAAATCCGATCATTAAATTGATTGTGTTTGCAGGACAATTTAAAGTTGCAAGCAAGACATGATACAGTGCAAGATTTTGTGAACCTTAACATAATTAACAAGGCCAATTTTTATAAAAATTTCTGTTTAATTTCACTTTATTTATAAATTGCATGACAAACAATATAAACAGATATATTGCACAGTTTGTGATGATATTTGTCTAGTTAAAACAGTGATAATTTTTTTTTACTATATGTTCTATGTCTGGCGAAATATTAGATTGAAATTTCTTTTACTTAAACTTTTATTTAAAGAAAAAATGTAAATGTAAAATGTTAGTATGAAGCTCTTGTTTATGCTTTTATACTTGAAAAATTTATTACATTATTAACACAACATAATATTCTGAAAAAATTTATTTACTATTCCTTAACCATAAATCATTATTATGTTGTTATCTCCTATGCCATACATTATGATGAAGCCACAATTGAGTTTTGAAAAAGTTAATGTATAAAACATTTTAGAGTAAATAAACAATTTAATAGTTAATATAATTAATTTAAATAGTTTGACATAGTGAAACAGGATGTAATACAATATTGTTTTTGTAGGATATCAGATATTAAAACAGATTTAAAATATATTTACTAGGTTTTTTAGCATTATGTTTTGATGTATTCGTATGTTTCATTTAAAAACAATCATGACATGATGATTATCATCATTATCTTTATCATCATGATCCAGCGCTCAGAATTAGGAAATATAAGGTGGACAAAAATTACCAAACTAATCTGTGTGAGGTCCGCATCAGGATCGGCAACTTGTTTCTCCCCACAGCGGCTTCATTTGTCATAGTTCCTGTTTCAGAATTATAGAGTTGAGAAAGAGTTGTAGCAATAATTAAAAGTAGCTTCCTCAACTGTAGTTGACTAGTTGGACTTCATGGCTTTGTGAAGGTGAATTAAAACATACAAAAACAAAAAAAAAGCCGACAGAAAAAAATGTAAAACAGAGGTTTGACCATAAAACATAGAAACAAGGTTGGCAATTTTTTGCCAACTTTTGCATTATGCATTAAAAAATTTGACTTTTAATGTTTCGTAGGTGAGTCATTTTGTAAACAAACGCTTGGGACATTTTTGATTAATTGAACTATTTTGATTAATATGAAAACATCACAGTTAAAAATTTTTTTATTTCAAATCAAGTCTCTAGAAGTTACTTGTCACAAATTTTAAATATGTTAAGCATATTAACTCCTATATCCATATTAACTCCTATATCCACGTCCCTGGTAGTACTGCGCTCAACTCGTTTCTCTGCGCAGCGGCCTTGTTCGTCAAGGTTCGTGTTTTGGAGTTATAGAGTTGAGAGAGGGTTATAGCCACAAAATAAGTAGCCTCCTTGTCTGTAATGGCCTTCTCGGCCTTGAGGAGGTGAATTAAAATAAAAAATTAAAAAAAAAAAAAAAAAAAAATCAAACTTTTCCATTAATATGTATAAAAAACATAACATAAATTTGTCCCTACACCATTTTTATAATTTGTCACTCTACTTTACTTCTATATCACTTTTTACCATTTGAGGCATTTATTACTTATTCTTTCTTCTTTTTTTTAATTTTATTTTCTTCTATTGATAATTAAAGAAAGAAATTAAAGCTAAGAAAAGAATAAGAAAAAAAAAAGGTACTAGGGTCAAACAATTAAATTGAAATTAAAAAATGGATTTTAACATTTTCAAATTATGGTAAGGAAATCCATGAACTTACCATATATTGACAACAAACATTCAAATAACTAACAATTTTTATTTTTACCTTTAAATAGGAGCCAAAATATTTTGTAACAAACTCGCTATCACATTGGGACAAAACTGTTATTTCTTGCTGAATATCTTCAATTTCATCCTCTGCTTCTTCTAAATCAATGATCTTTGCTGCCACAATATTACTTGTATTCAAATCAATACTAAAAATAAAACATTAAAAAAATCAAAGATTATTATTTACTTTCAAGTTTAAATTTTTTAAAGGAGTAACAAAATAATGGGAGAGGTAAGGGGAGGTAATAAATAAATATAGTTATAACAAGTAAATGAAACACATTTTTGAAGTCAACCTTTTGAAAGTTTCCTTCATTAAATTTGTAATTGCTTTTTTACAATCATACATTACAAATCAAAAAGACATTTATTACAAATTAACTTTTTTTAATTTAATTTGCTAAACAATTCATACTTATGTACATTTGTTATATTATATATATATATATATATATATATATATATATATATATATATATATATATATATATATATATATATATATATATATATATATAATTTATTAAAGTTTATTAAATTTGTTATGAATTTGTTATATTATAAATCTACAATTTATTGTAGTTTATTAGTGTAAATTATTATTTAGTTTAACAACTAGAAGTAATTTAAAATAATTGCGCTTTTTTATTACAACTGAGTTGATTTATAATATAATTTGCAAAAAAGCGAAATACAAATAGAGAACTTTTTTCAGTAAACTTTATGTAACAAATTTATGAAAAAATGATTTTTTTAAATTTTTAAATTGCTTTTTAACAAAAAAATTTCTTTGTCAATAATTTTTTAGATTGATCATAAAATGAACATCGGTGAAAAAATGATTAACTAGTTTATAAGTAGATGCAAAATTTTTTAAAAAAAAAGTCAAAATATATTTTAAAAAATTGATAGCTTTTTTATTTTTATTTTTGACCGTTATTTTTTGACAGAAATTTAACCATAATTGCTACCTTCATTAAAAAAAAACAACTAAATTGTGAGAAAGCAAACAAAAGTAGAATTTTTTTAAAAATAATTGAACAGATCATTTCCGAAATTTCATAAGTCAGTTTTAGACAAAAATGAGTCAAGCACAATATCGTGTTATCTAATGGTAGATAAATGTTTCTTTGAAAGTCAACCAACGCCTTATAAAGTGTTGACAAGGTCAGACAAGTATGTAACATGTATCTACTCTCATATAACATGATTCTAACCTTCATTTTTGTTCAACAATGACTTAAGGTGTTTCTGAAATGACCGGTTCAAATAGTATAAGCTTAAATAAGTTTTTTAAAATAAAGAAATATTTTTTTTTTCAAACATATTTAAATTTTATTGATAATTTTTTTTTATGACAATATTTTTAATTTAAAGATATTTTTTAAATATTTTATAAAGATAAAGACTTAAAAGATTTTTAATGTGGTTTCAAATTAAATTTAATTACAATGCGGTACTTTAAAAAACACAACTGACATAAATTAAGTAGTTTTTAATTTATTTTGATTTCTTATTTTGTTAGTTTTGCTTTCTTTGTTTTTTAAACTTAGTTTTTTCTGCTTAATATAATAAAATTTTCTGCATAATATAAGGGAAGGGGGGGGGGCCAAAAAAAAAAAAAAAAAAAAAAAATTGACCCAATAGCATTCCTTTGAAAATAATGATTATAGCATCTTAAGAATTGTGCTTCACCAAGGTGAAACTTCAGTATTATAATAAATCAATCTTTTCAATCAGGGATATTTCCAAACTTATTTAAAGTTGCTGAAGTTGTTCCGATTTTTAAAAGCAGCTTTAAAAAGATCTATGTAACTATATCTTTAAATTAATTGAAAAACTTTTTAATACAAGCATTGTATACAAGATTGTATAACAGGATACTCAGTTTTTTAAATCTATCAAATAACTTATATAGCCTGCAATTTGGATTCCTAAAGAAATATTTTAATAACCAAGCACTTATAGCTATAACTGAAACCATACACAAGGCTTAAGACCAAAAACAGTTTGCTGCTGAAGTATTTGTTGATTTGCAAAAAGCATTTGATACTGTCAACCATGAAATTCTATTATCAAAACTATGCCATTATGGTGTAAAAGGGAATGGCTCTAAACTGCTTAAAGTCATACCTAAACCATTGCCCACAAAATGTTACTATTGGTAATATCTCATCCACTACTAAGCACACATCTATAGGTATTCCTCAGGGTTCAACTCTGGGTCCTCTTCTTTTTCTTACCTACATAAATAATTTAAACACGTGTTAAATACTCAAAACTGTATTATTTTGCTGATGACATCAAACTCCTGATAATAGATAAATCTTTAAAAAGGCTAACTAAACAATTATGACCATCACTGGTTCGATGGTTACAATTAACCAAATTATCTTTAAATCCAACAAATTAAATCCATATAAACAAGTTGAACAAATGGAATGCTTACCATGAATACTTGACATGCTATTTTTAATTCCCATCTACGCTATGGTTCTCAGGAATGGGGACAAAGTTCATTTATTTATAAAAAAAAACTATATAAATCTTCAGAATAAATCATTAAGAATAATTCGCTTTCAACATAACAGTTTTAGTTCTGACATATATAATCTATAATCTTTCTAAAATTTTAAAGCTTGACAAACTTATCTAATTATCAAAATCATGCCTTGTTTTAAAGCGTTAAGCTGCCAGCAATTTTTGTACGCGTTACATACACCTAGAACAATTTCCATTAGGCAACTATTTCTCTTTTTTAACTTTTAAATTATTCTATTTGCAGTAATATAAAACAAGTCATTAACTTTATAAAAAAACAAATTAATTTTTGAATTACGATTATGTAAAAAAATTTGTTAAAAAAAGTTTGAATGACAATTATGTTAGAAGCGCTATTTACTAATGAAAAATACTCAAATAAAATTAAAAACTACGAAAACTTAATCACTATCAAGCTAATTATTTTATCAAAATATTTAGTAACAGAAAACAAAATTGTTTATAGTTAATGACAATTTTTTATACAAATGGAATGTAAAAAAAAACAAAGAAACCATAAAAGAAATATATATAATAAAAACTTTTATTTATCATCTTGCGAGCACAAGAACATTTATGTAACTTTTGATTGCAATAAAAAAAATTTACGTAAGTTTCTATATAATAATAAATAATTTATAATTAATTTTTTTATTGTAATGATCGATTTTTTCACTTGAAAAATGCTAATACTTCAAGGGATCATACATAAATTATGTAATGGGAAGTTAAACTTATAGACAAAACAAAGGATTAAAAAATTTCCCTCAACAAATGGTGTTTGGAAAAATAATTTTTGCTCTTAACAAAATCGCTAATAAAATAATAAACTTTTAATAAATAGATAATTTAACGTAATTTTTTTTATTTGTTACTGGCTAACTTTTTTAAAATAAAAAATCATTTTTAGTTGCAAATTTTTTAAAATGATTATTTAAGAAATAATCATTTAAAAAAATTTAACATATTTTAATTCATTTATACAAATGTAGAGAAAAACAATTTGTTTATATCAAAAAAATGTTAAAATGTAATAGTAAATATAACTAATTAATAAAAAAAAGAAAATAAACATTTTTAGTAATAATTATTAATAGTAATAATAAAAAAGTTAAAGTTAATAATAAAGAGTTAAATAATATTTAACCCGATTTGCTGTAATTAATATTATTGCAGTAACTTAAAAAAGTTAGTCTTAAAAAATAAAAAAAATAAAGAGAACTTTATGAAGTCAAGTTCACATAAGGCTAATGAGTTGAGCATTTTTTATTTAGAACAAGGCCTGCAAACTGTGTACTTGTATGGGACTTAACCAACAATAATATGCCCAGCTGCTTCACTAGCTATTTTAAATTCACAAATGATATTCATAGTTATAAACTTTGGTTTGTATCTTGTTGTAGTCTTTTTATACTTTTAAAACAGGCACTAGCAGGCTTGGACAGGAATGGTGTGCGATTGAACGCTATTGCTGACCACACAAATTATTTTTTTTGTTGACAATTTGACCACGACTGTTTAGATATTTTGATGATTTAAACATTTCAGAAATGCACTGAAAAAAGAAACTCTAAGCTAAACAGTTCAGCATTTTTTGCATAAATTTACACATTTAATTTACACAAAATGCATTTATTTTTAACGATCATTATAATTAATTTAATTAAAATAATTATAAATTATTTTATTTAAAGTCGCGTAAAATAAAAACATTCGAAAAGATCAACAGTTAATTGCTATTCATAACCTAATAGTTATTTATAACTTAACGATTTTTTTATTGCATTTAAATTGGTAAAACATTAAAACAGCCATGGTCAAATTGTAAAGAAAAAAAATTATTAGCGTGGTCAGTTACAGAGTGCGTTCGCACCCTATTCCTGTCCAAGCCTGAATCATTAGGTCAATCAAGTATTAATTAACTCATTGTTGGAACTCTCTTCCAATTGAAACTAAAAAAACTCTCCAAAATGACAAATAGAAATACCTTCATAACCCATGTAAAAAGGTATATCCTCAATAAAAAAAATCAATGAACTATCATTTATGCAACCGCCTTCTTTTAGTTATTTTCTATAAGTAAATTATTTATTAAAATAAAAGTATAAATAAAATAAATCATAAATCATAATACTCATAAAAGTTAAAATAACTAAATATATAAAATAAATAAAAACTTCTTAAGTCATTAAGATTAACAGCATATAAGACCATTCGACCTATGTACTCTTTACATGTATTCTTTTTGTTAAGTGTTTTAAAGAAACAAAGACTATTTTATATGTAAAGATGCATATAAAATTTTAAAAAAGATAAAAATTTTATGTATAAAGATTGCAATTAAAACATTTTTATAAAAATTACATGTTATAAAAGTTGTGTTAGATAATAATAATTTTTCTAAAAATGACATAAGAAAACACATTTGATTTGAACTTTCAGTAAAATAATCTGATAATATTAATACGCTAATTTAATATTATTAGTCAAATTACGTCATTTTCTAGGCTTTTCTATTTTAATGTAGTTTCTAGGCTTTTCTATACTTTCTTTTTCTTTTTCTATTTTTGAATTTATTGATTAATAAAGTCAAGAGTGCTCAAGCAAGGTTGTAGTGAGTGATACTCAAATCTTAAAAGCACTTATTTAAACATAGCGGAGGAATTTATATACTCATAATCATTAGTTCTTTATTTTTATTGCTAACTAAATTTTAAATAATTTAAATAAGGCTAAAATGTTTTTCTACTTTTTGTCTTTCATTAATCAATAAGGACAATAAATCAAGAAAAATTGTAAAATACTCAATACTCAATTGTAAATATTCAATCAAGTCTTTTTATATACAGCCTTACAGTCTTCAGTAACTTGTAGGCCAATTTAATACATTGAAAAATGCAAATTACGTTGAACTTTTAACAAAGCTTGCTTACGGCAATGAATGTCAATATGCTTAACAAATAACATGATAAAACAAATTGAGAAAATTTTGAAAACAAATTATCATAGTCGCTATAAAAAAATCCAAACAAAATACCAAAAAAAGTGCTTTTATAAAGGGGGCTTTCCAAAATTTTCATAATCTGCTTCACAATATTTTACCATAAAATTGTCCATAACAACTGCCAAAATAAAAAATAAAATTTTACCCATTAATTAAAAAATAACTTATTTTTTTCTGAAAATTTCCAAAATTTCCTGAGTTGAAATTTTCCCCGAAATTTACATCCCTAGTTTTTGTCAAAAAAACTTTTTATCTTACTAACGCCTCTTTTTCTTTCGATAGTTTGAGTATTCTTGTATTACCTCAATGTCTCCTACTGAAGATTTAGTGGCTTTTGACAATTTTGCAATATGTGAATAGGTTGGATTTTAAAGGAAAATTTCCTAAACCTTTTTGCGATTATTCAATTGTTTAATTATTTTAGACTAATAAACTGATAGTCTTAGTAAAACATCATACAATTAAAAATATGTTTATAGAACATCATTATAGACAACTTAAATAGTAAAATTGTTTAGAGTTTTGGCATAACCTAGATGGCTTAACACGTAGATAAACTCACCATTTTGTACATAATGTAAACAGCACAACGCTTCTTAACAAGGATTATAAAATTGAAAATAAAAAAATCACAATTAAATTCCCAAGTTTTTATATATTACATAGAATCTAATTTTATCAAAAATAAAAAACTTTTTTTTAAATCTATGATTTCCTTGATTTTTGTTTTATATCATTCAAGGTCTTTATATCTGATACTTACAGATATTAGATACATACAGTTATGAAAATGTGCTTACAGCATTGCAAAATTTAACCTGTAAAATTAAATGGCTACCTATTAAATGTGCTTTTTAGAAATATTATTCAAGAGAATTGCAATTATGAGACATGGTTGCACACAAATCAAAAAACAAACTGTTGAAAACAAACAATATTCCACTGAGTTTGTAAACTGCTGGCTTATAGTTTTATTCAAGCATTAAATATACTTAATTGTTTAAATTGATATTATGAATATACTTAAAAAAACTATGTTTATGTTAACTATGTTTAAAAAACTATGTTTAAGTTGTCTATAATGAGAACCTTTTTTCTTAAGTAACTTCTTAGTAAACATTAAAAAAGCTTTAAATTGCTAATCAATCACTCTAAATTATTAAAAATTCTTGCTATAAAAATGCAACAAAAAAAAAAAACAATTTTTATAAAAATTTAATCTCACGCTTTAAAAACTTCGCCGAACGATCCTTTCCCAATCTTTTCTTGCAAAGTATAACGATTTTCTGGATCTAATCCGTCTTTTGATGGCTAAATTTTAAATAAATTTAAAAATTTTAAATTTATGAATTTAAATAAATTTACACACACACACAGGAAAAAACTAAAACTATTTTTTTTTAAAAAAAAAAAAAAGTTTATATCACATTTTGATTAAGGAGAACATAATTTATCCTTTCTTTAAAAATACTATTACAAAATGGATATAATATTAACAGCTATTTAAATGGTTGTTATAGAAAAGTGTAGATAAAAATTGTAGTCATGATTAAATCGAAACTTAAAAACTAATAAAAAAAGTATAGGATGAATTAGTAAAAATACTTGAAAATAAAATATTAAACTTCAACATTTTTCTATGCCTTTTTTCTATTGTACACTAGCCATAATAATTTATTGAATATTTTTTCTTGCAAAACTGCTATCTTTGAAAGTATTTAACAGTATATTTTTTGTTTTTAAAAACGTTAACCAAGAATCAGGAGAAGAACCAAGAAGAATTAATTAAATCTGACATGTTTAACAAAGATTTAATCGCAAATAACTTATATTACCTTCCCAAAGAAAATATGCCTTTACTTTTTGACAGTTACATTTTTGAGAGTAGTAAATATATTTGAATGTTGAGTTTGACTTCTTCCCCAATTTTTTAAAAATCTAAATCTACAAGCATTCCCTAGAGATGCATGCGGTTTTTCATCTCATTCCAGGAGATGCATACGGTTTCTCATCTTATACGGTTTTTCATCTCCACACATAAGTTTAGACAACTTGGTCACAGCTGTTTGGGTAATTCCATGTCAAATTACTAGGCACGTGTCACCCCTTGTTTTAGATTTTGCTAATTTTTTTAAGTTACAGAGATTATAAAAATTAGTAAAATCTGAAATTTGGAACTTCCAACCGTTTACGGTGCTTGAGATATTTAGGATTCAATTTTCTTATTTATGCTGACTCAGCATTTTTTACAAAATACTTTTTTGTTGTTAAATAGCAATATTTTATGAACCAAATGAGGTGTCATTCTGAAATTTTGTACATAGACAATCTTCCACGATCTTACGGCAGATACAAATTTCAAATTGAAAATTTTTTTGACCACTATAATTACATGTAAATTTCATAATGAAGGCATATATTTTGGGGTATTTTGACGCTAAAAATGGTGATGTAACCTTGATAATTTTAATATAAATAAGAGGCATTGTTATAACTAACAATATATGTTTCAAATATCACTATTAATAAAATATATATTACTGCATTTTTTAACTTTTCCAAATGCAGCCTTTTAAGTAAAGCTTATATATATGCTGAGTCTTTATTAGAATTTATTGCTTTTCCCTCCCCCCCCCCCCCCAAAAAAAAAAAAAAAAAAAAAAAAAAAAAAAACATATATATATATATATATATATATTTTTAAATTAGATATTTTTCCAAAATTGAAAAGTTTGTTTTGTTAAAAAATTTTTCTTTTAAGCTTTTTGGAGGCCTTATGGAGCAAACTAGAAATATAATTTTTATTTATTGAAATTTTTTTGTAAAAGACCAACATTTTTTAAGTATAAAAACTTTGCTAGGCTGTAATCCAAATGCATTTATAAAAGAGATTTTTAAATAAAACCTTTTATTTCCTCATTAATATATTGTTGCTTCTGATTTCATGTTGTAAATATTTGTTTCCTTTTAATTTGCAGATTTTTTATATTTACTTAACTAATTAATAAATGTTAAATGATTACTATATGTAATCATTCAACATTTAATGTAAAGTCATATAATATAGCACATCCATTTATATGGATATTATAATAAAATGTGCAAATAATTTACCATAAACTAAATAATGTTAATGATATTTTTCTAAAAAATATTTTTTTGTAAAATATTTCAAAACTAAATAATTTGAATAAAATTAAAAGTTGGAAAATATGGAAAAGTGGTCTTTTGGATTAGAATGTAATGTTGACTGTCACAAGCAAGCTTTAACAAGAAGACAAGGTCTTTTAGACTTATCAACATTTTCAAGTGATGAAAAACACAAGTTATTATGGAGAGCTGGTTTATTTGATTGTGGAAAATTGTTTACAACAGCTTGCTATTATCATAGACAACACTTTTGAGTTCCATTTTTATCAAGGCAATTTTGATATTATTTTGATAATTAGAATGATTTAAGTTATAATTAAATAAACTTAAGAAATAATAAGACAACTAAATGCCTTTTTGAGAAGAAAATTCAAAATTTTTTTTTAACTTAAAATTTAATTGTTTTATAAATTAATAAATATACTAATATGTTCTTTACAATGATGCTTAGTTGATGTTAGTTTTTAGAAATGATTGTTTCTTTTTTTTTTATAGGAAATGTGAAGATATCGCTATCAATAGCAACAACTCTTAAAACATAAGATATTCCTGTTATACCTGAGTGGAAATAATGCAGTAGTTATTACAAAAGGGTACAGAGTATAAACAAAAAATTAGCATCAAATGATCAATGCTAAATCAGGGTTGAGCCTGAATATGAACAACGCTCTCAATAAAAGTCTTAAATCTATGGGCGTGTCACCAATTTAGTATAAATCAGTGCCAAAACACCAACGGTTACCAGCTACCAAAAGAAAATTTGATCAAATAACTGAAGCAACAACAAACAAAATAAATGAAGTTTATAATATTGATCCTATGTTAGATTGATACCATCTTGTACACTACTAACTTCTTTAGTTGATAACCATAAAATTGACGATCTAAACTCACTTTTAAATGAATTTAAAGATAAACTAAAAAATGTGACATCATACTCCACAAAAATACAGATATTAACATTAACTTCAGAATCATGGTCACTCCCAAAATCTGCAGAATTTTTTAATGTATCTATTTAGCTTAAACGAGAGGCTAGAAAAGCTAAAAAAAAAACATGGAACTTTTTATAAACCATCAAACCAGGAAAATTTGACAACAGTGATAAAGAAATAACAATTAACAAATGGCTAAAACTACACTGATTAATCAAAAAATCAATATTGAAGATGTTATTGACCTTATATGCAATAAAATAGATAAACTCTCATTCATTTATAGCTAAAAGTCAAGTACCTTAATGACTGTTAAGAGTTTTTAAATCACAATGAGCATATAATATTTGGTGACTTTGCAGAGAACTTTCAATTTATTGTTCAGCATGAGGTGCAAAGTTACCACTGGAATAAAACAAAATGTACACTTCATCCAATTATTATATACTACAAATCAAATGGTAAACTGATATCTAAATCATTTTGCTTTCTTTCTGATGATATTGAGCATGATGTATACTTTTTATATAAAATACAACAGCTCATTATCAATTACATTAAAGCAAACATTCTACAAATTAGTAATATTAAATACTTTACTGATGGATGTGCAGCACAATATGAAAAATTTAAGAACTTTATTAAACTTTGCCATTACAAAGAAGACTTTGATATTGATGTTAAATGTTTTTTTTTGTTTGTCACAAGCCATGGTAAATCTGCTTGTGATGGTATTGGGGGCACATTAAAAAGATTAACTGCACAAGCCAATTTAAAAAGAGTAATGACAGGACAGATTTTAGATATAATAAGATGTTTGAATTTTGTTTAACCAATATAAAAAACATTCAATTCATTTTGGTTTATACAACCAAGGTTTACTATGGGAAGAACCTTGCCAGGAACAAGATGCTTCCACCATTTTATACTAATTAATAAATGTACAATTTCTTTTAAAATGACGAGTCAACAAACTGATGTTCAGACATTTAACCTTGTGCAGATACCAAATGAACTTGTTGTGAAGATACCAAATGAGCTGGTTGTGCAGCAGGTTATTTATAACCATATGGATTATGTATCTTGCACTTATGACAATTTTTGGTGGATTGGAATTTTTGAAAGATTTATTTTTTCTAATTTAGTTAAGAAATTTTGATACAAAATTCTCCTAGTCACTTGTCTTTATATTTTTTTTTTAAAAAAAAAAAAAAAAAAAAAGGAAGGGGGTTGGTAAAATGCCTAATTGGGATTGGCATTATATAATTTTATGCTGATTCAGCATATATATATATATAAGCTTTACATAAAAGGCTGCATTTAGAAAAGTTAAAAAAGGCAGTAATATTTTTTATTAATAGTGATATTTGAAACATATAGTGTAAGTTATAACAATGCCTCAAAAAAAAATTATTAAGATGACATCACCATTTTGACCGTCAAAATATAAGCCTTAGTACCCAAAATATATGCCTTTATTATTTAATTTACATATAATTATGGTGGTCAAAAAAAATTTCAATTTGAAATTTGTATCCACCATGTGGAAGATTGTCTATTTACAAAATTTCAGGATAATACCACATATGGTTCATAAAATATTGCTATTTAATAACAAAAAAGTATTTTGTAAAAAATGCTGAGTCAGCAGGAATAAGAAAATTGTATCCTGAATATCTCAAGCACTATAAAGGTTTGGAGGTTCCAAATTGCAGATATTCTTAATTTTTATAAACCCTAACATAAAAAAAAAAAAATTAGCAAAATCCAAAACATGGGGTGATATTTTTTATTTTTTTCTGCTGATTTGACTTGGAATTACCCATTGCAAGTTTGTACAATTTTAATGTAACAAGTATATATTGTCCTTATATGAATACATCTATGTAATGTAATGCATGCATATATGTTTGTAAATACACTCTTATGTTAGTTTAGTCATGTATGCATATGTATCTACATCATAGGCTTTATTAGTACATCACTTTTTTAATTATATAATTATATTTATTTGCTCATCAGTATATTCACGTTTAGCTGACATAGATAACGCGCTTACTTCATCCATGGAATGTTCGTAGTTCAAATCTGACCACAATTCAATTTTTCATTGTTTTTTTTTTTTAAGTTCCACTACTCATATACTTGCTTTGTAACCATTTATCTTTTATTTTTTTTATATAAAAAAATTTATATAAAAAAATCTTTCTGTTGCATGTTTTTAAA